TCCAGCTCTTCCCGCACCCCTTCCCTTAACACCCACCCCAGCCAGCCAGTACCTTGATGGGCGTCTGGTGCATGTGCTTGCACGACTGGCACTGCAGCCTCAGCACGATCTTCTTCGTCGTCTTGGCCTGGCGGGGAGGGAGAAAACGATGCCCCAAGGAACAGCGCAAATTCGCGCGGGAGACGAGGGGAAGCGGTGAGATCGATGAAAAAACGTAGGGGAGATCGAGGCCCGGAAAGAAAGTGGAAGAGGCAGGGTGGAAAGTGGGTTGGGTGAACACGGAGGGGAGAAGAAGCAAAAATGACGCGGCATGGGTAAGGCAAAGTTTAAACTGCTACATGGGCTCGAACGCCAAGCGGAAGGCGCAGGGTGGGGGAAACCAAGGCTGTAGGTTCGGCAAAACCTCGTCCCGCAGTTTCCTAGGACAAGCACATCAGCAATAGAGGGACTCCAGCCACCAAGAGGCTCCCCACCACACCGTGGCCTTCCTTGCCCTTCCCCCCTTCTCCTTCGCTTCCCTAACCAGCTTCGCGTTGAGCCTTCCCAAGGGGCTTATCGATCTAGTCAAATCGAGCAGCTGGAAAACTATCCCATCTAAGTTACTACCTCGCCATGCCGCCTCGCCGTCTCCGCAAAAAAAACACATCTCTGGTTCCCAACACTTCCTGTTTCCCTTTCTTTCCCTCCGAAGCTAGGTTACCTGGATCGGGAATTAGTCCCAGTCATCTTCGCATAAAAAAGTCGTGTTTCATCACAGCATTAACGGTGCCGACGGGAGGAATAAAAATAATAAGAGAAACAACAGAAGAAAAAATCAATTCTGACCTTCTTGTGGAAGACGGGCTTGGTCTGTCCACCATATCCGCTCTGCTTCCTGTCGTAACGCCTCTTTCCTGCCATGTCACCAGGCAGTACGATTAGGGTTAGCAAAGGAAACGAACGAGAAAGGAAATTTGAGATTCAACCACCCGAGCACGAAAGTCAACCAGCGCAAGTACAAAACACGGCCCTCAGAAACGCAAGGTTACCCTAATCCGCTCCCTCTGCCATGGTTTCACCCGAACCAGCAACACTACATGATCGTGCTCCAATCTGAAAGTCCGAAACCATGAAACCACAGGCTACCGCTACCGCGTTCAGTAAGGAGCCGACCGAAGAACACGCATGCGCTGTGACGAATAATTGGCGTCCCGTACCTTGAGCGTAGACGCTGTCCTTGCCCTTCTTGTACTGGGTAACCTTGTGGGTGGTGTGCTTCTTGCACTTGCCGCCGCAGTACGTCTTCTTCGTCTTTGGCACGTTCACCTGTGACAATATCGCGGAGACACGGCAACCACCCCCAAGATAAGATATGATGGGGAATTCGGAAAACCTCCGTGCACAAGAGATCGTACGCTATTAGAATCTGTACGGCATCCCCCTATCGCGCGACTTCAGTAAAATCAAGGATACGCAGCCATCACTCGCATGCTCCGCCATTACTGACCATGGTTGCGGCTCGACAACGACAGGGAAGGGGGACCAAGCACAGTGCCTCTGTGTGACACGTGGATGCCTTTGCGGAGAGAACGGCGACGAACTAGCGTCGAGATACAAGGAGGCGAGAGAAGGGAGAAATGGAGGGAGGGGGTGAAAACCCTCTCCGAACAGCGAGTGGAGGGGAGAGGATGCAGTCGAGCAGAAATAAAATCATATCCATTTAAGCAGCGCATTCATTTCATGCAGACTGTTATGTCATACGTCCCGTTTTGTATCGAAGAACCTCGTATTGGACGAAGGTCGATGGTGGTACGCCACGCAAGGACTCACGTCAGCTTCCTTTTCATTAAAAATGGCGACAGTAAATTTCCCTCAAAACACTCTTGTAATATAAAAAGAATCATACCCTACTACAACAACACTTGAGTAATTTTAAATTTACATTCTTCGATAGGAAAAAAATCGAGTAGATTAAAATTAGGATTTTAAATGTTATTTTAAAAAAATCTGTTATTAGATGTTTACTAATATACTATATGTTGCAAGCACCATTGTAAACTAACAGTAATCACGGGCGGGCAGGTTAACGTTAACAACAGTATACTACTGATGCAGTTAAGCTAACAAAAGGTACCTTAAATTCTCAATTGACTTATTTTTAGTGTCTAGTACCATGTGGTAAACTGGTACGTTGAAGGCATACCTCAAGCTCTCTGCACATAACACCTTCATGGGTAGCACCTTCTATGTACCAGTTCAAAGTGAATCTAAGCCGATCCATGATCCTACCCTCTTCCTTCTAAACCAAGCCACCGCTTCAGAAACTACTTCAGGAGGTGGTGTCACGTCCGATCCTTCGTACTCCACAAACTTCAGATGATAACCACACCTCCGGAGCCTAGGTACAAGCTCTTGACTACACACATCGATGCCCCGATCCGGGTCAGACGTCCCATGTGATATAAAGATGTCAGGGCCGTCTTGGTAGCATGGCAAGTCTATCATTCCAGGAGTGAACGCCATGACATGACTGCCATGTAGGGAGGAAGAAGCGGGAATAGATGTTAGCAGAAAAAAAATGTGCACAAGAACGTTCTGTGCCACAGAGCACATACCTAATGAACAAAAGTGTGCACAAGAACGTTCTGTGCCACAAAGCACATACCTAAACAGCTGACTATTTCGCAGTCCCAGAGCCATAGCCATTGTTCCTCCTTCAGAAAACCCTGAGAGGCACACGCTCTCAGGGTCTATTGAGAAGCGATTAAATGCAGTCTCCATTGCCCTGCAACACAAATGAATCAGAAGAAATTGAATCCAGCGAATGTGAAAGTGCAAATGGAAGCACTCCACTAAATACCATCACGAGTGGCAGAGCGTACTTATCAATGAAAGTAGCATCCATGTTTGCCCCTTCGAAGGAGCAATCCCACAGGACATCTCGAGCGTCTGGAGCCACCAAGAGGAGCCGATGCTGCTCCGCATACTGCACGAACGGCGCGAGGGCTTCCTTCGCATCTCCCTCTTCTGTATGCAGCGCCACGAGAATCGGACATGAACTTGCTTCGGTGTATGTGCTGGGAACATATACCAGACCGTCTGGTCCTCCCCTGCAATTCAACCAAACGGCAAGAATCAGAATCATGCGGGGAAAAGCTCACTCTAGAAAACGTTTAAAAACATGTTACCCTGAATTTAGGCCAAGGGGAAATGCCTCTCCAAACTTCAGCGGTTTGCAACAGTCACAGGGCGTCCCTGGAGTTGCACTCGGAGGGCAAACCAAGGAACGCCATGGACTCGATGGCTTCGACGAAAGGGACGGAGAACGCGCGATTAGATCCGCCTGAAACTTGAAAAACACCTTCCTGCCGTTTTCGTTCGGATCAAACACTGTGCTGTTACTTTCCTCTACATAAACAGCCTCATCAGCCATGTCTGCTCTTCTCAGACGGCTCTGGAAAAATTGGCGCAAAAGAACCCAAGAAACAACTTTCGCACTCGTAAACGAGAGCGTGGGATTCAACCTCCCTTCGCGCCATCGCGTGAATCCTGGGACGAGTAGGCGTGAACAAGAGAAGTGCCATGGAGTTCGCGGTGGCATTCACTGGCGAATGAATCAAACGCCATGCATCGAACATTTTCCTGCATGTCGCGGTCCTATGACTCAGCGCGCCATGCAACTGCTGGGAGCTGCTTGAAATCCCGTTGTGGCTGCTTCGTAAACCTTCTAGCCTCCAGGCCCCTCAATTAGAAAGCTTGCTTTCTTGCATGTAGCAATCGTCTCATTTCAAATGGCTTTTCTAGAAAAGCACCAACATTGGGGCGTATTGCTGTGCTGAGCATGAGAAATGCAAAAATGTATTTAATTGACATTTTAGAAAGCAGAAAATAAGGTTTAATACAATAGGATATGTACATCCCTTACACCGAAATGAAACGATTTTGAGGCCTTTTTTCTAATTTGAAACATTGATTGTATAGGACATACAGTGGCTATGTGACGCGCTATTAGCAGCCTTATAGCAAGGAATTCGTCATGCTAGTTGTGCAGTCTGCAGTTGGTGTACGGTGTTGTCCTCCTTCCCATCCAATCAAAAGACAGATCGACAGTTGCTGCAGTTCTCCAGTCCAGGGAGGGACCCAAACGGCTTCTACGAATTTTGGTTTTCCCTAAATTTTAGTCAGCTCGTGGTTCTCGAGAGATCAGAGTGGCCAGGGAGAGTGCTGCCTACTCTCTCGTACCGATCTGCTGCTCCGAACTCTGTATACTCATCGCGCCGCCCTTCCGCGAGGTGTTTGACCATGCACGTGTGAACGGCGAGCGTTACTTTTAAGGATTCTTCTTGGCTGTTCAGGTCCCGTGCTTTCTGGTCGACAATACTATTCCGCTTCCCTTCCCGGTCGACATTGCTCACATCCACCGTCACGGCCACCTTGCCGTTATTCTAGTTTCCACGATGGACCGATCGCAGCATCACAACCGTAGATTCGATTCCTCGTGCAACCAACCTCAAATTACCCACCTTTTGTCCGTGCGTAAACGATCTACTCCGTTCTGGCGATCCGTCGCACCGTTGCTTATCGTGGCGGTGCTGCACGTCGTGGCGACGACGCTGACAGCGTCTGCGACGGACGACGGCACGTACTCGCATGTGCTCACCATGACGACGTTCAACGACAGCCTCGCCGCAGCCAAGGAGCCCTGGGCGCTCGTCGAGTTCTTCGCCAGCTGGTACGCGAATGGTTCCGGGTAACGTCATTCCAGTTGAACGTAAAAAACAAGCAAACAAACAAACAAACAACAAACAAAAGTTGAGCCCAACCGGGTCTGGTATTGGGTGGAACGTCTGGAGGGATGGAATGGCAATGGCGCGGCCCGAGTGTATTGTAAAGGAGTTGGGATCAGGTGGGGGGTAGTAAGTGGGGGTTGAGAGAGCGGGAGCGACGGAGCGACGAGGAGAGACGCAAGGTTCGATTGTTGCATGAGGCTTATGGCGCGAGCGGCTGTGCCTATGAGCTCGATGCTGCACAATGATTTCCCGTTCCCCATTTCCCATTCCCCGTTCCCCATTCCCCATTCCCCGTTCCCCATTCCCCGTTCCCCATTCCCCGTTTCCCATTCCCCGTTCCCCATTCCCAATTCCCCGTTCCCCATTCCCCGTTCCCCACTCCCCGTTCCCCATTCCCCGTTCCCCATTCCCCGTTTCCCATTCCCCGTTCCCCATTCCCCGTTCCCCATTCCCCGTTCCCCATTCCCCGTTCCCCATTCCCCGTTTCCCATTCCCCATTCCCCGTTTCCCATTCCCCATTCCCTGTTCCGCATTCATCCTTCCCCATTCCGCCTTCCCCATTCCGCCTTCCCCATTCCGCCTTCCCCATTCCGCCTTCTTCATTCCGCCTTCTTCATTCCGCCTTTCCCATTCCGCCTTCCCCTTCCCCGTTGTGCGAGTTGGTCGTTCGCCTCACGATGTCAGTGCAACTTGACGTCCGTCACCTTTAGACCTTCCTCCCTCCGCTTGCGACTCTTCTCACCCCGCCTCCTTTCCCCCCTCCTCCACTCCCCCCTTCCCCTTCCCCGTTCCCCGTTCCCCGTTCCCCGTTCGGTGCCTGTCTCCTCCCCTGCCTGCTTGTTTCCTCGAACCCCTATCCCAGGTGTCCCGCCTGCCAGTATTTCAAGGTGAGTGCTGCTCCACTCATAGACCATTGACCCTCATTGTAAATACTCCACAACGCAGTCGCGGCTTGCCGTGCAGGATTTCTTTCTAGGCTTTCAATCCTCCACCAATCCCCCTCTCTCTCTGTTTCTCACCAACCCCCCGCCTCCCCCCTCTTACCCCGCTCCGTCTTAGCTTCCTTTTTGCTTCATTCTCTTGTCTCACACCCTACGAGATTCCCCCCCTCTTGCTCCTCCCTTCCTTCTTCATATTCACTCATCCTCATCACTCCCAGCCTTGCTCTGAGACCTTCCAAAACTCGTCATTCCCGCCTTTCCTATCTCACACCACCCTCTTTCTCTGCCACTCCACCCTCATCCCCATACCCCTCGCCACGTGTCTCCCTGCGCATGCCTTGCACCACGGCAGCCGGAGTACGAGCAGGTGGCGCGGCTCTTCAACTCGCCCTCCTCACCCAACTCGGATTTCATCTACGTTGCCAAAGTTGACTGCGCCTCCGATGTCAGTCCAACCTATCGGACACCCACTGCCGCACAACGATCTCTCCCCCCTCCTCCTCCTCTCTTTCCCCCCCTTTTCTCCGTTTCTTGTCACCCACGCACGGCCTCATCCGTTTGTCAACCCCTCACAGCCCCCCCCTTCCCTTCTCGTCCCTCCTCCCCTCCCTGCTTATTATTCTTCTCCCGCCTTTCCCCCAATGATGATAATTTTTACACCCTCCTTCCCCTCAATCTTCTCCCTGCTTCCCCTGAATGCCCTCGCCTTGTTTTCCCTTGCGTCCTCTTGCATCCCCTTGCGTTCCTCTTGCATCCCCTTGCGTTCCTCTTGCATCCCCTTGCGTTCCTCTTGCACCCCCTTGCGTCCTCTTGCATCCCCTTGCGTCCTCTTGCATCCCCTTGCGTCCTCTTGCATCCCCTTGCGTCCTCTTGCATCCCCTTGCGTCCTCTTGCATCCCCTTGCGTCCTCTTGCATCCCCTTGCGTCCTCTTGCATCCCCTTGCGTCCTCTTGCATCCCCTTGCGTCCTCTTGCATCCCCTTGCGTCCTCTTGCATCGGTCCCCCCCCACCACCCCCACACCCCCTCCATCTCGCCAGCGCCTGCTGTGCTGCTGTTCATGCTGTTTCAAGTGAGCAGCTGCCGGTCCATGTTCTTCTGCTTCTGAGATGTCTCATTATTAAAGAAGACTGTTAGAGCGCCTTAAAAGTCGTCTCATCATAGGTCGCTCCCTCACCCTCTACCTCTTCCCCCCGCAATTCCCTCTTTCCTCCGTCCCGCCAGGGCCTGCTGTGCACGCGGTTCGACGTGAACAGCTACCCGTCCATGTTCTTCGGCTTCTGAACCGTCTAAGATGTGCCAACACCCTTTTCCCTCCCCCCCCCTTCCCCCCCTCCTCTCCCGCCACCACTCCCCGCTTTCTCTCCTTCCATCGCCAGGGCCTGCTGTGCACGCGGTTCGACGTGAACAGCTACCCGTCCATGTTCTTCGGGCGGCCGAGTGCGTTCAGCAGCGGCGAGCGGCACACGGATGTGGGCAAGGCGGCTCTGGAGGCAGTGACGCCGCAGGAAAGGACGGCACAGGGCGTACTGGAGTGGATCAACGTGCGCACTGACAGGTGCGGATGAGAGGAAGGTGTGGTGGGGGGGGGAGGAGGGGATGGATGGAAGCGGGAGCGGATGGGGTTGAGGAGGCTGGGGAGAGGACGGCACAGGGCGTGCTGGAGTGGATCAACGTGCCCACTGACAGGTGCGGATAGAGGGGGGGGGGGGGGGATGGGGGAGAGGGGTGGGAGGGGTGGGAGGGGGGGAGGAAAAACGAGGAGGGGAATGCAGGGAAGGGGGAGCGGATGGGGGAGAGGAGGCTGGGGTAGAGGACGGCACAGGGCATGCTGGAGGGGAAGGGGGGAGGAGGAAGGGTGGGGAAAGGGGAAGAAGGGGGGGTGGGTAGTGGGGTTGGCTGGGGTTGAGGAGGCGGGGTGTGAGGAGGTGATGCCTGTTGACTTGGGGCTCACAGCACAGGGGCGTGCGGGAGCGCATAAATGTGCGCACTGAGAGGTGGGGATGTGGGAGGAGGGGAGGGGAGGGGAGAGGAAGGGAGAGGGGGCGCAGGGAAAAGGTGCGTATGGGGTTGAGGAGGCTGGGGAGGGGACGGCACGAAGCGTGACGGAGTGGATTTATGTGCGCACTGACAGGTGGGGAGGGGATGTGCACGAGGGAAAAGGAAGTGGGTGGGTTCAGGTCAGGGTGGCGGAGGGGGCGAGGGGAAGGGGGAGTGCAGGTGGGTGGGTTGGTGGAAGTGTGTGGTGTGTGCAGCGCCCGGGCGTGCTGGAGTGCTGGCGTGCTGGAGTGCTGGCGTGCTGGAGTGCTGGCGTGCTGTCAGTCAACATGTGGTGTGGATTGCGGACTGGCTGACAGGAGTGGGGGTGGAGTGAGGTGGAATTGGAATGCGATGTGGAGTGAGGTGGAATGCGATGTGGAGTGAATGAAACATGGGAGAAGCACGTGCTTGCCTGCTTGCTTGCTTGCCCGCATCTCGTGAAAGTATCCATGCTCATGACCTCCCTTAGTTTTGTGTCCCACCTTGTCTTTCCTCCTTCATCCATCCATCCATCATCTCATTCGTTCATGACCTCTGTCATTTCAACCTTTCAACATCATCACAACCGCCCCTCCCATTCCACTCATCCCACTCGTTCCATCTGGTCTCGTGTGTGGCCCCACGTCAGAATGTTTGCTCTGCCCAAGAAGGGTGGGGAGGAGGCAACAGTAACAGCAACAGCAACAGCAACAGCAGGGGAGGCAGGGAAGGCGATCACCACGTCTGGGAGCGGCCAAGAGGACGAGGAGCAACAGCAGGTTGCTTCCCCTTGTGCCTGGTTACCATTCAGAATGCTACCATCATGCCTACCAGCACACCTCCTCCTCCCATATCCGCTCACCCCACTTCACCCCACTTCACCCCCGCTCCCCCTCCTTCCTTTTTTCACACTCTGGGTCTCTCTTTCTCTTTTATTTTTTCTTATCCTATTCCACCGCAGCACCTTAACCGCACCTCTTTCAATATTTCTCTCGCTTCCCTCTGCCTTCTTCCTTGTGTGGCAACCTCTGTGCATGTTCCTGCCCCTTTTTGTGTGTGTGCATGCCATCCATCTGTGCGTGCCATCCATCTGTGCGTGCCATCCATCTGTGCATGCCATCCATCTGTGCGTGCCATCCATCTGTGCGTGCACACCATCCAGCTTGGCCCGCGTGCGAAGCTGCATGACATAGAGGAGGCCACTGCTGTCGCCTTCAACTTCATCTTCACATCCCTGGTTAGCCTCTGCTGCATGCTCATGCACATGCACATGCACATACACATCCCCATTTCCATTCACGTTCTCATGCATCTAAATCTGCACTGCACTCCCATTTGGGATTCACAGTCATGCATGAATGAATGTACCCGCACACTCACACAATTCAGGAACTGCACCACGCTGCCCATCCACTTACACGGACTGCACTGCACTAGTCGCACCGTTGCTCCTGTCCGATTTCTACCTAGAATGTGCAAATCGGGCCATCCCACACGCCTTCCTGTGCTTGCCTTGCTCTCCTCATAATCCTTGCCATCTTCGCTTCTCACCATCACAAATCTCCTTCCCAGTCTCCTTTGCATCTCCCTCCTCTCCCCCCACCTTTCTCCTTCCTTCTTGTTGTCTTCTTCCTCCTCTTTCTACTCTTCCTTCTACGCTTGCCTTCTTTCACCTCGTCCTCCGCCTCCTCTCTCCTCCCCCCCCCTTTTCCTCCCCCAACCAGCCGCTTAAGAAGGCCATGCGAAACCCCTTGGAGGACTTTGTGCGCCTTATAGCCCAGCACCACCCCTCGCACAGGTCGCTCCCTGCCTTCCCTCCCCTTTCACGTCTCTAATGCCTTCGAGTCGACTCAATTGTGAGTTTGTGCGCCTTATAGCCCAGCACCACCCCTCACACAGGTCGCTCCCTCCCTCACCTCCTCTTTCACATTTCTAATGCCTTCAAGTCAACTCAGAAATAAGTTTGTGCGCCTTATAGCCCAGCACCACACCTCGCAGAGGTCACTCCCTGACTCCCCTCCTCATTCACCTCTCTATTGCCATCGTAACGGGTGGCTTTTGAGTCGAATCAAAGCGAGTGTGCGCCTTATAGCCCAGCACCACTCATCCCACGTCGCTCATTCTCTCTCCTCCTCGTTCACCCTGTTTTTCTTGCCTGATACACAAACAGAAGTTATTTTCCCCATCTACCATTCAGCTCTGCATGCCACCTTCGTGTATCCCTTGCCTTTTGGTGGTGATTGTTGATTAATGCTGCAGTTGACTGCACTTGACTGTGCTTGACTGGGTCTGACTGGAGTTGACTCCGCTTGAATGTAGATGGCTTGACTGTAGTGGAGTGGATGAATTATGAACGAACACTCGTCTCTCTGAGCCTTCGACCAATCGACGTGTTCATCCCATTCCCTCACCTAACCCCTCTGCACTGCACTTGGCTTTACCCCCCACCCGTCCTTCCCCCTTTCCCCGCAGGTGTCGCAACGGGGCGTCTGTCCTGCTGCGCCTGCTTCCCCTGGCATGGCCGCTGTCGGCAATAGGCGAGGAGGAGGAGGGCAAGGGGCATGGGTCGCGCAAGGACCTGGGGGTGCTGCGGATCAACAAGACTGCGCTGGCGGGGGCTAAGATCTGCGGTGCTGACCTGCCGTCCGGCTCCTGGGTAGGTGGTGCATGCGGCAGCGTGCGTGAGTCTATGGACATTTAAGGACCTGAGGAGGCGAGGGGGGTGAGGGCGGGAGGATGAGGAGGGGTGGCTATAGCAGAGTAGGTAGGACCAGTAAAAAATGCCCTGGAGGGGAGAAACGAAGCGAAGGGTTGGGAGGTCAAGTGGGAGGGCGGGGAAGCGGGGGAAAAGAGCGAGAGAGAATGGGAGGGGAAGGCATGGCACTGGATGATGGGTGGGCGCAGGTAATTCCTGTGTATATGCGCTTTCCAAAGTGCCTCTCTCATCGCTCTGGTCCCTCTTTCCTTCTTCTCTTCCTTTCTCCCCTTGCCTTCCTTTCCCCCCTCCCCCCTGCCCATCCCTTCGTCCCTCTCTCATCCTTCCGTGAACACCCTGCACGGTGATGCTGGTCTCATCACGTGATCAGGGAGACTTTTGAGTCAGCTCAAAAGTCATCCATCCCTTCGCCCCTCTCTCGTCCTTCCATGAACACCCTGCACGGTGATGATTGTCTCATCGTGTGATCATCCAATTCATTGTCTGTCGACTGGCAGGACCAATGCAGCAGCAAGATCAAAGATCGCAGGGGCTACAGGTGCGTTTCCCCACGCTCACAAGCCCGTCAGCCACTCCCCTACCCTTCTTACCTCCTCTTCCCTCCTCCTCCTTCCTGTCCTACCTTCCTGCTCCATTTCCCTCAACACGCACACCCACACACCCACACACTCACACACCCACACACCCACACACCCACACACCCTCACACTCACACACACCCACACACTCGCACACACCCACACACACACACCCACACACCCACACACTCACACACCCACACACTCACACACACCCACACACACACACACCCACACACCCACACTCACACACCCACACACCCACACACTCACACACCTACACACCCACACACTCACACACCCACACACTCACACACCCACTCACTCACACACCCACACACTCACACACCCGCACGCCATGCATTGACTGCTCTGTGTCTCTCCTTTTATCGCCCTTGCGTCTGTGTAGCCACAGCCTTTTGCTTGCAAATCACAGCCTTTCACAGCCGATGGAGACCACATCCATTCTCGTCCGTACCCTCCCACATCTCCTTCTTTAACCCCGCCATATCCCTTTTTACCCACCCCAACCCCCACTCCCATGATCTCCCGATCCACCCTTTCCCATTCGCCTCCCAGTGCCTGCTTCGCTGTTTCCCCCATCCTTAGCCTCCCTTTCCCCCTTACCACCCCGCTTCCCATCCCAACCCCCCTCCCTGAACCATCCCGTCTGTGTGTGCGTCTGCGTCTGTGTGTGTGTGTGTGGTGGGTGTCACAGCTGTGGGTTGTGGCTGCTGTTCCACGCACTGTCAGTGCGGGTGTGGCCGGAGCAGGGCGGGTGGTGTGTGAACGCCATGAGGGACTTTGTGACTGTCTTCTTTGGCTGCAGCAAGTGCCGCGACCACTTCTTGCAGATGGCCCAGCAGTGAGTGCGAGGCGAGCAGTGAATGGGGGGCGAACAGTGTCTGGGGGGCGAGAAATGAGTGGGTGTGCTGTTATAGGGATGGGGATCAGAGTGGGAACAAGTGCCGCGATCACTTCCGGCAGATGGCCCAGCAGTGAGTGGAGGGCGCGCATTGAGTGCCATGTTCATTTATTAGTCAGGGTTCTGAAGGATAGGTAGGAGGTACGGTATTCTCGAAATTACAGAGGGGTGCAAAGCTTAGAACCAGGGATGGGTAGGTGATCCTTCACCCCTGTGTGCCACTCCCATCACTCCCTTCCTCACCTCCCTTTACACCCTCCTACCCCACACCACACTCCCTCCTCACTTCCCGCATGCCACCGCATTCCACCCCACGCCTCCTCCTCCTCCGCACCATGTTCCCCCCAGGCTACGCATGGACAAGGTGAAGACAGGCAAGGACGCTGCTCTCTGGGTGTGGCGCGCACACAACGTGGTATGCTAGGCTGGACGCTCTTGTAGTTTTCTCAGCGACACAGTATGCCTGTGCGTAGAGTCATACCTGTCACACATCTTCTTTCACACCATTATGGCATTCCGTTTGGGTTATTTCTATTGAAGTCTAGTAAATCTCTTGCCAAGCCTGCTCTCCTCGCTTAGCCTGCTCCCCTTACCAAACCTCATCCCCTCGCCAAACCTGCTCACCCCTCTATTTCTCTCTCCCATTCCCTCTGTCCCTCTGCCCCTCTGGCCCCGCTCCCTCTTCCTCACCTCCTCTCCCTCTCGTCCCGTCCTCACCACCCACTCACCCACGCGCAGGTGAACCAGCGGCTGGAGAGGGAAGAAGCCGAGTCAGGCGGCAAGAGGGGAGACCCAGCACACCCCAAGCGCCAGTGGCCTACTCTCTCCCTCTGCCCACTCTGCGCTGCTGACGACGCCATGGCAACAGCAGACTCTGATACGGGTGCTGTTGACCCTGACGCCTCATGGGACCTTGAATACGTGCACTCGTTTCTGTATAATTTCTACAACGAGCCGGAAGGGAGCGGGGGGAGTGATGCAGGAGGGGACATGGAGGGGGGTGGCAGGGGTGGAGGAGGGAAGGCGGAGATGGTGGAGCGGAGAGGGGGAGGGGGGATGATGATGTGCGGGCTGGTGCTGCTGCTGCTGGTGTGCTTCTGTGGGTGTGCCACGGCCCGACGGTCCCTGCTGCGCTCTCATCCCTCTCGCCGTCGCAAGTACCCCACTACCCTAGATGCTCTGCTCTGCTGCCGGCAGTGTGCTATCGCGTCCTTTTTGTACTTTCTTTGCTTCGTGCTTTTTGGTTTGTCCTTCATTTGCTTTTCCCAATCTCATGCCCCAATTTGTGCTCACTCTGTCTCGTACTCGTCTCTCTAACTTGCTCACTCCACACCACACATGTTAGAGCGTATTCCCATCCTCCTATCAAGCGAACCTCATATCAAGCTCACACTGAAAAATCCCCTAAACCCGAAACCTCTCGCTACTTTTACCAGGCAAAAAGTACAACCTTGATAGGAGGTGGCCTTGATAGGAGGCCGTAGGAATACGCCCTTAGGCTTCTAAAGAGGAACAACTTTCCTCACTGTCCTCATTCCCTCACCTTCCATGACATACCATATCATCACTGCATTTCCTTGTTCCCATCCTCCCCACCCGACTCTCCTTGGATATCTTGGACTGGTGGTGATGGTCGTGCAGGCTGAGAAGCAAGCAGAAGTGGGGAGGGTCTTCTTACGGCTCGCATCAAGTCTGATCTCGCCTTTCAAACCTGCTCTCTCCAGTGCCAGTTGCATTGCATGCTTCCAGCTGCCTGCTGCCTGCTGACTGCTGTGTAGTGGACCGCAATGACTATTCCCTGCTGCTTGGGTTAGCCTAGCCATAAGTGGCATGTGCTTAGGCGATTTAGGTACTACCATATGCCAGTGGGGCTAATCAACTGACATGCCGACCATTAACACGACTACCCTATACCGGTACATGTGATATGCTGGTGGAGCAAGCTGGACATTGGATTCCTTGCTTGTTGAAAACTTGAGCCCCAGTGATTGAGTTGTTACTCCTCAAGCCACGAGTCCTCTCCTCACCCTAATGGCACCCAGGAAATCTGAAATATAATGAGCTGATGTGGAAGCATCATTACAGCGTCCACAGGTACAGGTTCTGTTCTGTGCTTGGACAGTTCAGCTACAAACCTACAGCAGCCTTCACCCAATGCTTCCTACAACTCTTGTGCCTGTACCCTCGAGGTTTCATCATTCGTGGTACGAAACACCACTCCCCCTCCATCCAAATGTCCCAATGCAGCCAGGGCTAACAACAGAGGGTTTGATTGAGCTGCTTCCATCAAAGTTCCTACAACCAACAGCAACAACAAAATTCCCAGCCAACCTCCAAGGTCCACCTCTCACTCACACCAGTTACCTAAAGAGCCGCTACATTTAGCAGCAGCCCTCGGGCACTTCAGCTAAGCCTACCAGTAATCACATAGTCCACCAGTCAACCAGCCAACCAGTCAACATAATCCCCCTGGTTCCCCAGCTTAAAAATCACCAGCATCCTCATCCACATACACTGTCTCTTGCGTCAGCAGGCCCCCGAGCACCTTACGCTTCTCCACAGGCTTGGGAGCGGCAGGCGCAGCAGGCACAGCAGCAGCAGCGGGCTTGGATTGCCTCTGTCGCAGCGGCCGCCTCTGCTTCGGCACATCAGCAGGAGCAGCAGCTACAGCCTTCTCTGTCCCTCCTGTGGCCTTGGCAGCAGCAGCAGAAGCAGCGGCGGTGAAAGAGCTAGCAGCAGCCCCTAGATCCGGAGTGGGGATTTTCTTGGCAAAGTCACCAAAGGAAGGGAGGGACGGGGCGGAGAACGCAGCAGCAGGGGCGGCAGCAGCAGCAGCGGGTTTGGCGGAGGGGGGAGGGACGGAGGCGCCAGCTTCTTTGAGGTTGCTTTCAATGCTGGAGACAGCAGAGGAAGCGGCTTGCGCACGTGCTGCTGCCTTGGCTGCTGCTGCTGTCGCACGCGCCTCTTCGGCTGAAGGAATGCAAGGCAAGCACGAGAGGGAAAAGTATGAGTGAAAGGGAGAATGAAACGGAAAGCATGGGACGAACAGGGTGGGATGTGCCACAGATCAGCAGAAGATGACATGAGCACAAACCCAAGTACACCATGATTTCAGCTGCACTTGAAATAGAGCACCTGATATCCAACACTTACAAACACTCCCTATTCTAGCAGCTCTAACTCCCTCTCTGTTTCCCCATCCCATGTCCGCGCCCTCATTAGCATCACTCGCTCTCTCACTAGCTACCAACCCACGTCCGCTCCCTCATTGTTCCCCCATCTTCCTAATCCCACCCACGAGCACCCCACGCACCAGCCAGGGCCTTGGCCTGAGCCTCAAGAGCAGCAGCGCTCTCAGCGGCGCGCCTGGCCTCCTCTGCTGCCGCTTCCGCCTCTGCCGAAGCCAGCAGGCGAAGCTGCTTCTCCTGCTCCGCCGCTGCTGCCCTCTCTGCTGCCTCCTTCTTCTTGGCCCGGCGCGGATCCTCAGGGACCTCACTGGAAGGAGGGGGGAAAGGAGGGAGGGGCGGGGGAAAATGCTACTGAGTGGGCACACAAATCAGCTCTTCCTTCTTCTTGGCCTGGCGCGGCCTCACTGGAAGGAGGGAGGTAGGTCCGGGGATAAGCCAAGAGAGTGAGGGAAAGAGAGTGAGCAACGATTTGGCCCGGATTGGTGTTCAACGTGGCGCATTTGTTCGTAAAGAGGACAGCGTCAGAGAGGAAGTGGGTGTAAGCGTGCATGTGTGCGCGGTTGGGGGTGGGAGAGTGTGTGCGTGCATGCATGTGTGTGCGTGTGTGCGTGTGTGCATGTGTGTGCTGTGTGCGTGGGTACCAAGGGTGCAAGCGAGGGGTGGAGTGCGATGGAGGAGAGAAGAGAGGCTTGTGCTTGTGCCACATCATCATTGCATGCACGGATGGGTGTATCATGTATGGCACAGAATGTAAGGTTGCACATGCACATGCGAGCGCCAGCCTGCCACCCTCAATGCGTCCTCGGAAGAGAGCCCAGGGAGAAGCAAAAAGAGCACAAGAGGGAGCACAAGAGAGAGCACAAGAGAGAGCACAAGAGAGAGCACAAGAGGGAGCACAAGAGAGAGCACAAGAGAGAGCACAAGAGGGAGTGCAAGCGGGAGCGCAAGGAAACAAGGAGTGCAAGGGCGACGGACTCACGCGAGCAGCTCTGCAATATCACCAGCTTCAGCACCGGCATCTGCTACCAGGTCCACCACCTGTAGAGGGATAGAGCCAACAGAGGAAGAGGGAGAGACAACACAAGACACGGATTGCGGGAAACATGTCAGTGATGTTGTGTATAAAACGTCATGTGGCCGCCGCATTGAGTTTCCACGGTAGCCCTTAGGACTGGAAGAGCAACCGAGAGAATAATGCTGGATGAGTGAACACTACCATTTCCTCCCTCAGTTTTGTGATTCTTCCCCACTCCGGTTGCCAACAGCACACTCCCTAGGCAGTAAACTTCCCACCACACCCCACCCTCCCCCTCCCCTCTCCCTCTCTCTCCCTCTATCCTTCCATCCCTCCCTCCCTTTTCCCCTCAGCCTCACCTTGTTGGCGGCGAGTCCAGGGTTGGCGGCGATGGCTGCGATGACCTGCGCCACCTGCACGCGGGCAAGCTGCATTCGGGGGAAAAAAAGGAAGAGGGGAAAAGCGGGAGAGGGTGATGCATCGAGGAAGATGCGCAATATTTACTCCACGCCAAAGCCATCCGCACTGCATCTCATAATTGCTAAACCCCGCTTCATCCCCGTGGAATCACCCACTCCCACGCCCAAACCCCCAAGACTCGCTTCTTAGATTTCTCCTTCCAGAACAAGCGCTCCTCAGGAGCCCTCAATCGACGCACGCACTTGCCGATCCTGCAACGAAGATTGTTATTTCAGCGCCTACAAACATAGTGCCTAAAACAGAATATGACATGCAGCCCACGTTCTCCTCCACGCGCCTGCAGAAGCACTCAATTACATATCTACACTCTTTATGGGCCTTAGAAAACGCTGGAATCCCACCAGCTCTCTTTCACACACACCCTCAGCGGCGCTAACCCCACACAGCACAACACAGCACAAAACTCACCGATCCTGCGGCGATGCTGCCCTCCTCCCCGACCACCAGGTTCGTCCTGTACGCGCTAGAGTCCGCCTCGAATTTCCCCACGCGCAGCACGGTGTAGTCAAGCGCGTCAGCCTCCACAAGCTCCGTCAACACACTGCTGTACGATGCCGTATCGCCTTTCTTCCCCGCCAGCGACCGGAAGAAATTCAGGATTGCCGCGATCAGCCCGCCGCCGCTGCCACCGCCGCCGCTCTTGCTCTTTACCGCGACGCCGGCGGGCGCGGCGGCGAAGTCGGAGACGAGGACGAACGCCGGCGCGTTCGCGAGGATCGCGGCGCGCGCCAGGGAGAGCGCCTCGTCGACCTCGAGATTGCCGCTGGGGCCGTTTTCGCCGGCGCCGAGCGTGACTACAACGGTGCCCGCGTTAGCGATGGACTTGGCGGTGAACTCCGAGTCGCTGGCGGAATACTCGACGAAGTTAAGGCGCTTCGCCTCCTCGCCCGTGATCACCTGCCGCCGCCATGGATGGAGGGGCCAAAGTGGGGAGAGATGTATAGAGAGTGAGAATGAAGAGGATAAAGAATATTGATGCATCCGGAACATAGACTCGACGAGATTTAGGTGGTGGTGTTTCCGCCGTGATTACTTGAGGCGATGACGCGAGGGGGATAGTGGGGGAGGGAGGCGCAGAAACGAGTGATTGGAAGAAAATATGCATAATTGGGAAGAGGCATATCGTGGAAGAAGCTCGAGAGACTATGCTTCATGTGACGGGTTTGTAGCTCCGTGGATTTGAGGCAAATGTCAGTGCTTGAACACGAAGCATGACATTGCTCTTTGTTTTCATGGAACCACGAGATTCGTGCATACTCATCTATCCCCACACATTTTGATCCTGTTCGAACGGTAACCCAAAGCAATAAGCCCTATCACGCCCAATCCCGCCGCACTCCACCGGATCGCACCGCATTACCTTGTACTTGGCGGCGAGCTCCGCGAGTTGCTGTGCGTCGCTGAGGTCCTCCACGCCCGCGCGCACGCTCAGGCCCGCCGACAGCAGCTCCACCACCACGCGCGCGCCCGTCAGCCCCGTCGCGCCCGCCACGAACACCGTCTTGCGGTCCGCGGGCCGCCCGCGAATCAGCGCGGCGAACGGAAGCTTCACGAGCCCGAACAGCCCCTGAGGCGCCGCGGGGATTTCCTCGGGGACTGCGAACTTGCGCGTCTGTTGCGGCGCGGCATCCTCTTCCTCGTCGTCTTCTTGCACCGCGGGTCTGGGGGAGAAGAAGTTCCTAAAGACCTGCGTTCCATTGTCAACCTCCTCCTCCTCTTCCTCCTCCTGGGCACGTTTCTTGAAGAATTGCGTGCCGAAGACGGCCCGTTGGCTCCCTCCGTCTTTCGCGCGCACGGCGACGACGCGGCTGCCTCTGGGAGTGGCGGTAAAGGAGGTGCTGGTGGCGATTTGCGGGGAAAACAGCAGCTGCTGCTGCTGCTGGCCCAGTGACAACGACTGCGGCCTGAGGCCGCTGCTGGACAGCATTTGAGCGACTGCGACGGACCCCGCTGCTGCAAGAGCCATGGCTGACGAGCGGCTGGTCGAGAACTGGCTAGGGTTCACTGACTCTTGAGGATCGCCGCTGGTCAGCGAGAGTTACAATGGCCCGTGTGAAAGTGGCCTGTTAGGTGGTGATGGTGTGATTGATGTGGGGTGGGTAAACTATGGCTGGAAGGGCACCCGAGGGTCTGGGGAGGTAGTGTGGTAGTGTGTACTATGGATACGTGTGATCGGATGCGGTCAAAGTTGCGTTTCCGTGGCTTTCCTAGTGATTCTGTGCGGTAAGGTGTGGTTCATGAGTTATTTTTAGAAGGTAATTCGGTCGGGTTGGGATAATGCACCGCACAACGGCACCGGAGATGTCAAGATTCTCTGGAAGGGTGGGATTGTGGGAAATCGAGGGCTCAAATGACTGACACGAGCAATCGAACGCTCACGCCGGGCCGACACGGTAGCACTGAGACATCGCTGGGCCATTAGAGACACGCGGGAAACGAGATGATTCAGCAGTTGAACGGTTCCGATTCGCTCGACTCAACGATGATGGATTTGCGTACGAAGCGCCTCACGGGAAGTAGCTGATTGTACTGGGATAGCAACTCGAGTGCCACGTGAGCGATTGGCGATGTCCAGCAAAGCACATCGGATCCAATTATCCACTAGGCTTTGCTCCATACCGGGTCTGGCTATGTGAGGTGCCACGTGGAGGTAAAACACTTTCCCGTTAACGAAGCTGTCACAGCACACGTACAGTAGTTGTATGAACCTGAAGGTGCCTTATACGGTAAACTGCTGGACATTTCTAGCTTAGCTGCTAGCTAAGAGACACTTATGACTAGCATGCTCCTTTGCACCAAATATATACATTACTGTGCTGTCACTTAAGTTTTGAATGAATTTTGAAACTAAAACCGTAATGAAATATCCACATGCTGCGTAGGCTAAGAAAAGACAAGGAATCGACATGGAAAATAAATATAGATAAAATACTGGCATCAATATACGATTGTTTGAACATTAAGGTGATATTGAACTAAATATACAGCATATAATGGTTCTGTCTTAGAAATAGTCCGACTATGTAAAACACATGTTCTTCTTTTCTGTTTATTACGGCCCGCACACAAGCTGCTGTATTATTTTTCAAGTTAGCACACGTAATGCTCTTTTCATACATATCGAGTCTTTCTGCAACCGGTACTCTGCAACCTGTCACCCTCGCTCCCGCCAAAGTGTGGGGCTTTGGCAAATCAGGGACTAAAGTGCGGAAAACTGGCACATAGCGCTTCGGCCAGCTCCTGCTGCACCCAAGCCAAACACCCCCTTCTGAACGCCCAGCGGTGATCAACCTACACATACCTGCAATCTTGGACTGTGCGGAAATGAACTAAAACAATCCCATCTTCCCCCTTGCCATTCATGCACGAGTATCGCTTCATCATACTGTCCTCTTCTGCCTCACCAGACCCTCAACCTGTCTTGGTCCTACCTTAGTTTATAGATTTGCTTTTAGCAGAGGCTATTTTGGTTGTGACATCACTACAGAGAAACTCCTGCTGGCGAGTTCGCAATGGCTCTGTCGCATGATGATAATATAGCTGACCTGATGCCAAATTATTTCAATCGTGAAGACGGAATGGACGTTGAGGAATCGATTGACACGAGAGCTCTTGAAGATTATAGAGAAGTACGGTTCTTAAATCTCCTTACCTATTTCATATATCCTTTCCATCAATCCTTTTTTTTTTTCAGTGCGCTGAATTCAAGTGACGTTTATTGTCCTGCAGGCTCTGGATAGCGACGCTACGATGCGTTCCCGAGACGTATGCTCGCTGAACCAGCATGAGCTTGGTCTTTTAAACAGAAAGTCGCTTAGGATGGGTACGGGAACCTCGCAAGGCCAAAAGAGACCGACTCGGAAATTCGACCTTACATTGTACGTGCACGAAAAAGTACATACCATCATGATTAGAGTTTCATAAACTCACATGCCTACCTCTTTCCATGCAGGAAACCGTTGCCGTATGAAGAAGTGGCCAATCGGATGATGGGTGAGAAGCTTTTTTGGTCAGAACGCTCAGTCCTTGACATTAATTTGCGATGGTATCTTGTAACCGTTGTGAAACGCTACCCTGCAGGTTCTCACGTCGTTTCAGAAAAGCAGCGCTCAAAGATGAAGAGGCACGGAACAGGAAGGTGCGTTCAGAGATTATTTCGTTGACATATTCAATCACGTTTTTCTTATCTTTTGTAACGCTAATAAAAATATGTCCTGGTTCAGGGTGAAAAAGCGAAGACCATTTGGTTTAAGAACACCCAATTTTGCCGACGATGAGGAATTTGAAGAAGAGGATGAGGAGATTCACGCTGTTTTTGCAAAGAAGGATCAGCCGTCCAGGTTGGGGGAAGATCAAATGCGTCTTGAGGACATGTTGCAGAAAAAAGTCGACGTCCGGGCAGGATCGATGGTTTGGAATTCGTTGGTTTTAAACCCAAGTGGACATACGGGAAATTTTTGTAAACTTGCGGAAGCCACCGAGCTCGATTCAGAGGCGCCTGGAAGTGCGCCTGGAAGTGTTACTGATTTAAATGGTTCTGGAGTCAAGAACCTGCATACCGCTTTTGAAGAGAATGGGATTGGACGTGTGGAAGTCAGCGAGTCACCAGTTACAGACGCTACACAAGAGGTCGTGCGTGATGAAGCTGAAGGTCAGGCTAATGCGGAGGAGGAAGATCATGGTGCTGAAGGTGATGAGCCGATGACTGGCTCACTTCAGCCTACGGAAGTTGACTCTGGAACCAGTGAAACGATGGAAGGCATGATGGCCGATGTCTCTGGAGCTGAACAGGATGCTGATCCAGGCGATGAGGATGACGCGTGCAACGTTGTGGAGATCATGTGTTCAGAACAGACCAGTAAGAAGCCAGGCGCTTCCCCTCTTCCTGCTGTTGTGGAAGATGGACCCACGGATCCGGTATCTTACACAGTCCCAACCACTCCAGTTGCCCAGCAAGCACCGACTGTTGCACGTAAATCCGCACTTAAGTCTGGGCGCAAATCGGCCGGCAAGTCTGTGAGGATTGCTGGTGCGTCTGGTTCACCGGAAGCGTTTGCTGTGCTGCCGTTAACCCCAGAGGTGAGCAACTGTCTGATGGCTTTGTGTCACCTTCAGCGTTCGTTCAGTCAACTAATGCTTTGCCAATCATGCCTGCAGGCTGGTACCTATCTGAAGAGGACGAAGTCGTCAAAGGTGCGCATGCAGTTCCCCCGCTGCTCTGAGTTAATTCCTGAACAACAAAAATTAAGAGTACCATCCCTTGTGTCTCTCAGGTTCAGAAGGAGAAGTCAAGGAATTTGCGCAATCGCAGAAGCAGCTTGGCAGGTAAATGGTTGGACTCTTCAGTTGCTTACCTTGACATGTTTCACCTCCAAGATTTGTTTTAATGCCCCATCCGCTTCCTTGGCTTTTGTGCAACAGGTGGTGGACTGGTTTGGGATGGCAACATAAGAAAGAGCACGCGATCGCGCATGAAGCCTTTGGAGTGGTGGCGCATGGAGGGGGTTAGCTATGGCCGACCTCACCAGAGTACGTTCTTTTCCCGATGGTTTTACACTTTCTGAGCATTAGGGGAAACTGTTACGTATCGCTCACTTGATGGCATGTGTTGATCATGGGTGTTTTCCAGGTTTGCCAACTCCAGTGGAAGTGCAAGTTTGTTCACCGGAACCTTACTGGCCTGCAGTGCCACCAGGAGGTTTGAAGAAGAGGGTTGGACTTCGTAAGATGGTGATACCAAGTCTCTGTGACTCAACTGATGCAAACATTCTGGCCATTGAGTGAGTGAGCAGCCCGTGTTACACGTCCAGCCCACCTTCTGCCAGTCGCTGCTATGCAATGTACAGTGGTGATGTGGGTGCAAAAGCAGTCCAGGACGTGCCATCCTGCTCCGGTTGCCGCAGCTGACTGTTTGAACTCTTGTGTTAAAGCGACGGTGCACATTTGCCACCCAAAACCCAGAACCCTGGCGAACTGTTACTGCGGATGGAAAGTGTCCGCACGAAATCCTGGTTTTCGCCAGCCAGCACTTTCGCGCTGGCAAGCCTGGTTCAAAAAAAAAACTTCTGAACCCAACACTGCCAAAAGTTGCCCGTCGCTTTAACACTAATTGTCCAGCATTAGATCCACCGCAGTAGATCCAGCAAACGTATGCAACTCACTGACCATGACTTCAGATTAGTGCCTCAGGTCCTGCACTTCACAACGAGTATTGACCAATTGTGCTCACCCAGAAAGAAAACGGCACCATATTGGCAAGGTGGATGCTACAGGATCATGAGAATGAACATACCAACAATCCGATAAAGCATAAGAAAAACGCCAATATGGCAATGACTTTTTAAATCCCACTCCAAGACTGTCCCATAACAGTTGTCTGCACTGGCAACTCTGGATCGCATCTGTCATACTGAAAAGCTGCCATGGGCCTTCTAGCATAAAACACCGCAGTGTGCGAATACCCAGACTCCGACACAACGTATGCATCGCAAGATGCCAACAATAACCATTCTGTAACGACCTCCTGGAACAGCCGAGCCTCTTCCTGCTTGTCCTTCTCAATAGTGGTGCTGGTGGCATTGGTGGCCGCAGCAGTAATGTTGGCGTCAGTGTATTCTGCATCTGGGGCTACCATCCCAGCTGGGCGACGTGAGGCTTCAGTGTCAACAGCGCCCAGGTTGTTGGAATGGCGTGGCACAAAATCAGTGGTGAAGACCTGGATAGGGAGGATGCAACAGGAATAATCAGTAGCAGCAAGGACAGGAAGGCCACAACTACATGGCATCAGAAGGGACTCTGCCCACACAAACGCAGTGAGATGCTATGCGATGGAAGTGACTGCACAATCCTATTAGTTTGTGGGAATGGGCAGAGGAGTGAGCTTATGGTTCTGCTTACTATCAAGGATTCAGGGTACTGTGACGAAATGACCTCCTTGAGATTGGGTGGGTGGGAAGGCACCTTATTGGGGTATTGTGACTTAACTCAAAGAAGGCACGGCAGGCAGAGAGGGTGGGTGGGCGCACCTTATCGGGGTACTGTGACTTTATCGCTTGCTTGAGCTGGGCTGAGTTGGTGATGAGCATCCAGCGCACTCCCAGAGAGGATGGGAACCAGTACCCCTCCACCTTCTGTGACACAGGACACGCGGACAGGGGAGAGTGGGCAGGGGGGAAAGGGCAGGGGAAACGGGCAGGTGGGAAAGGGCAGGGGAAACGGGCAGGGGGGAAAGGGCAGGGGACAAGGGCAGGGGGGGTTGATGAGATGGATTGTGAAGCAGCTCCATCACAAGCAGTACCCCCCCCACCCCAGCCCCATACCACGTACCCTCTGTGATACGGGACGTGCGGGCGGGGGAGAGGGGGTATAGGGTAAAGTGTGCGAGGTAGAGGGTACGTGGTATGGGGTGGGGTGGGGGTAATGATACAATCAATCATCGAGGTGCCTCATGACCAGCGGTACTGAACCCCTCCGCCCTCTGAGACACAGGACAGGCGTGGAGGGAGGGGAGAGGGGGCATGCAAGAGGGGGGAGGGTGTGGAGGGTAGGGTGTGGGAGGTAGGGGTGGTGCGTATGGTGTGGGGGTGATGAGACGGATTGCAGTGTGGCCTTCCGATAGGGAGAGCGGGTGAGGGGTGTTCGGACGCCTGGGTAGGGGACAACGGGGAGGGGATGGGAATGGGGAATGGGGACTGGAATGGGGATGGAAATGGGGATGTCAATGGGGATGGGAATGGGGATGTGAATGGGGATGTGAATGGGGATGTGAATGGGGATGGGAATGGGGATGGGAACGGGGATGTGAATGGGGATGGGAATGGGGATGGGAATGGGGATGTGAATGGGGATGAGAATGGGGATGGGAATGGGGATGGGAACGGGGATGTGAATGGGGATGGGAATGGGGATGGGAATGGGGATGTGAATGGGGATGTGAATGGGGATGGGAATGGGGATGTGAACGGGGATGGGAATGGGGATGGGAATGGGGATGGGAATCGGGATGTGAATGGGGATGGGAATGGGGATGGGAATGGGGATGGGAATGGGGATGTGAATGGGGATGTGAATGGGGATGGGAATGGGGATGGGAATGGGGATGTGAATGGGGATGTGAATGGGGATGTGAATGGGGATGTGAATGGGGATGAGAATGGGGATGAGAATGGGGATGAGAATGGGGATGGGAATGGGGATGGGAATGGGGATGGGAATGGGGATGGGAATGGGGATGGGAATGGGGATGGGAATGGGGATGGGAATGGGGATGTGAATGGGGATGGGAATGGGGATGGGAATGGGGATGGGAATGGGGATGGGAACGGGGATGGGAATGGGGATGGGAATGGGGATGTGAATGGGGATGTGAATGGGGATGGGAATGGGGATGTGAACGGGGATGTGAACGGGGATGGGGATGGGGATGGGGATGGGAATCGGGATGGGAATCGGGATGTGAATGGGGATGGGAATGGGGATGGGAATGGGGATGGGAATGGGGATGTGAATGGGGATGTGAATGGGGATGTGAATGGGGATGTGAATGGGGATGTGAATGGGGATGAGAATGGGGATGAGAATGGGGATGGGAATGGGGATGGGAATGGGGATGGGAATGGGGATGTGAATGGGGATGGGAATGGGGATGGGAATGGGGATGGGAATGGGGATGGGAATGGGGATGTGAATGGGGATGGGAATGGGGATGGGAATGGGGATGGGAATGGGGATGGGAATGGGGATGGGAATGGGGATGGGAATGGGGATGGGAATGGGGATGTGAATGGGGATGTGAATGGGGATGTGAATGAATGGGGATGAGAATGGGGATGAGAATGGGGATGGGAATGGGGATGGGAATGGGGATGGGAATGGGGATGGGAATGGGGATGGGAATGGGGATGGGAATGGGGATGGGAATGGGGATGTGAATGGGGATGTGAATGGGGATGTGAATGGGGATGGGAACGGGGATGGGAACGGGGATGTGAATGGGGATGGGAATGGGGATGGGAATGGGGATGTGAATGGGGATGAGAATGGGGATGGGAACGGGGATGGGAACGGGGATGGGAATGGGGATGGGAATGGGGATGGGAATGGGGATGTGAATGGGGATGAGAATGGGGATGGGAACGGGGATGGGAACGGGGATGGGAATGGGGATGGGAATGGGGATGTGAATGGGGATGTGAATGGGGATGGGAATGGGGATGTGAACGGGGATGGGAATGGGGATGTGAATGGGGATGGGAATGGGGATGGGAATGGGGATGGGAATCGGGATGTGAATGGGGATGGGAATGGGGATGGGAATGTGGATGGGAACGGGGATGGGAATGGGGATGGGAATGGGGATGTGAATGGGGATGAGAATGGGGATGTGAATGGGGATGTGAATGGGGATGGGAATGGGGATGTGAATGGGGATGGGAATGGGGATGTGAATGGGGATGAGAATGGGGATGGGAATGGGGATGGGAACGGGGATGTGAATGGGGATGGGAATGGGGATGTGAATGGGGATGGGAATGGGGATGGGAATGGGGATGTGAATGGGGATGTGAATGGGGATGTGAATGGGGATGTGAATGGGGATGTGAATGGGGATGTGAATGGGGATGGGAATGGGGATGGGAATGGGGATGGGAATGGGGATGGGAATGGGGATGGGAATGGGGATGTGAATGGGGATGAGAATGGGGATGTGAATGGGGATGTGAATGGGGATGGGAATGGGGATGTGAATGGGGATGGGAATGGGGATGTGAATGGGGATGGGAATGGGGATGTGAATGGGGATGAGAATGGGGATGGGAATGGGGATGGGAACGGGGATGTGAATGGGGATGGGAATGGGGATGTGAATGGGGATGGGAATGGGGATGTGAATGGGGATGTGAATGGGGATGGGAATGGGGATGGGAATGGGGATGGGAATGGGGATGTGAATGGGGATGTGAATGGGGATGTGAATGGGGATGAGAATGGGGATGTGAATGGGGATGTGAATGGGGATGGGAATGGGGATGTGAATGGGGATGGGAATGGGGATGTGAATGGGGATGGGAATGGGGATGGGAATGGGGATGGGAATGGGGATGAGAATGGGGATGGGAATGGGGATGGGAACGGGGATGTGAATGGGGATGTGAATGGGGATGGGAATGGGGATGGGAATGGGGATGGGAATGGGGATGGGAATGGGGATGGGAATGGGGATGTGAATGGGGATGGGAATGGGGATGGGAACGGGGATGTGAATGGGGATGGGAATGGGGATGGGAATGGGGATGTGAATGGGGATGTGAATGGGGATGTGAATGGGGATGTGAATGGGGATGTGAATGGGGATGTGAATGGGGATGTGAATGGGGATGGGAATGGGGATGGGAATGGGGATGGGAATGGGGATGGGAATGGGGATGGGAATGGGGATGGGAATGGGGATGTGAATGGGGATGGGAATGGGGATGGGAATGGGGATGGGAATGGGGATGGGAATGGGGATGTGAATGGGGATGTGAATGGGGATGGGAATGGGGATGTGAACGGGGATGTGAACGGGGATGGGGATGGGGATGGGGATGGGAATCGGGATGGGAATCGGGATGTGAATGGGGATGGGAATGGGGATGGGAATGGGGATGGGAATGGGGATGTGAATGGGGATGTGAATGGGGATGTGAATGGGGATGTGAATGGGGATGTGAATGGGGATGAGAATGGGGATGAGAATGGGGATGGGAATGGGGATGGGAATGGGGATGGGAATGGGGATGGGAATGGGGATGGGAATGGGGATGTGAATGGGGATGAGAATGGGGATGTGAATGGGGATGTGAATGGGGATGGGAATGGGGATGTGAATGGGGATGGGAATGGGGATGTGAATGGGGATGAGAATGGGGATGGGAATGGGGATGTGAATGGGGATGGGAATGGGGATGTGAATGGGGATGGGAATGGGGATGTGAATGGGGATGTGAATGGGGATGGGAATGGGGATGGGAATGGGGATGGGAATGGGGATGGGAATGGGGATGGGAATGGGGATGGGAATGGGGATGAGAATGGGGATGGGAATGGGGATGGGAACGGGGATGTGAATGGGGATGGGAATGGGGATGGGAATGGGGATGGGAATGGGGATGGGAATGGGGATGGGAATAGGGATGGGAATGGGGATGGGAATGGGGATGGGAATGGGGATGGGAATGGGGATGTGAATGGGGATGTGAATGGGGATGGGAATGGGGATGGGAATGGGGATGTGAATGGGGATGGGAATGGGGATGGGAATGGGGATGTGAATGGGGATGGGAACGGGGATGGGAATGGGGATGTGAATGGGGATGTGAATGGGGATGGGAATGGGGATGGGAATGGGGATGGGAATGGGGATGGGAATGGGGATGGGAATGGGGATGGGAATGGGGATGGGAATGGGGATGGGAATGGGGATGGGAATGGGGATGGGGATCCGGAAGAATATTGTGTCAGAGAAAAATCACAAAGATGGTTGAGCTTGAGAATGCAGTTCGTTCCTTTGAACTCACAATATCCGTTCCTCTACATTAGGTCGTACCTCTACGTTGTGGACGTGCTTGTCTCTTCGTGCAGAGGCAAGGATAAGAAAATTTATGCGCCTTTGATCATCATCCACCCTTCAAACCCCACTCCCACCCACCCCTACCTCCCCCCCCCTCCCACACGCCCTCACCCCTCACCTTGTGCGGTGCAATCAATCCACTCCCCACTCTCCCCCCAGCCACGCCGATCAAGTCGACTCAATCAAAAGTCAACTCCCCAGCCTCCCCAGCCACGCTGCTTGAGGAGCCTCCAACCAAAATCCTCCCACCAATCCCCGCACCTCACCAGCGTGCAATCAATCCACTCCCCGGCCTGCCATGCCACCCGCTCCTCATTCAATTGCTTCGGGTCACCAACCCCCACTGGTCGTCACCCTCCCCTCCCACCTGCCTTCGCCTTCCCTCTCGCACAAACCATAACTTTTTCCCCTACCCTTTCCCCACTCGACTCCCCCCTCCCCTTCCCTGCCACGCGCCCTCACCTCCCTTTCACCCACCCTCCCCTTCCCCCACCATCCCCGTCCGCACTCCTCACCAGTGCACAGTCAATCCACTCCTTGGCCTGCTTGCCCAGCCACGCCACCTGCTCCTCATTCAGCTTCTTAGGGTCACCGTCCCCCCACTTGCCGTCCCACACGAATCCGTCCTTCACGCGGATGTGTATGCCCACCGTCGCCACCCCCCGCGCCTGCCCCCCCTCCCCCACCATGGCTGCGCGCAGCTGCTGTTCCATGCCCCGCACCAGCGCCTGCACCTCTGGCCGCGGACTGGGGAAGGGGAGGGAAGGAGGGGAAAGGGAGAGAACGGGGGGAAAGGGAGGGGGGAAGGTGTGTGGGAGGGTTAGGAGGCAGGGTGCTTGAGAATAGGAAAGCAAAGGAAGGGGTGGGTGGATGGGGGCTCTGAATAGGGGAGACTGCTGGGCGGGGGGTAGGGGGACCAGTGATTTTCACACGGATGTGTATGCCCACCGTCGCCACCCCCCGCGCCTGCCCCACCTCCCCCTCCCCCACCATCGCTGCGCGCAGCTGCTGCTCCATGCCCCGCACCAGCGCCTGCACCTCTGGCCGCGGCCTGGGGGAAAGCGGGGGAGGGGTGGGGGGAAGAAGGGGGAAAGGGGGAGAGGAGGACAGAGGGCTTTTCAAAAGTCTCACATGCCTTCCGGCAACGCTTTCACCCGCTTTTTTGTCGACTAAAAAACGCTTGCACCCGCTTTTGAGTCGACTCAAAAACGCTTGCACCTGCTTTTGAGTCGACTCAAAAGAACTCTCACATGCATTGCAGCAACGCACGCACCCCTGGGCAAGGACTGGCGGAAGAGGGGGAGAGGGGGGATTGGGGAAGGGGTAGATGGTAGGAGTTTGAGGAAAGGGAAGGAGAGAACGGGTGGGTTTGGAGGGAGGAGGTGAGAGAGAAAGGGAGTGGGAGAAGAGAAATTGTGGGTGGGAAGAAAAGAGGGATTTTGGGGGCAAAGGGAGGGGTAAGGGGGGTGTGGTCTCATGCCCCCATCTCCACATCACCTCCCTGTCTCCCCTCCACTCCAATTCCTCTAATACCTATCTCGTCCCCCGTTCCTTCTCCCCCCCTCATCCCCCCATCGCTCACGTAAGCAAGAATTGCAAAAAGCACCCTACCCCACAGCATACAGCAGCATGCATCCATGACCAGCCCCCCCCTCTCTCTCTCCTTCTCCCCCCCTCTCTCCTTCTCCCCCCCTCTCTCCTTCTCCCCCCTCCTCTCCTCCTCCCCATTTCTTCCGCCCCATGGCGCTCACGTGAACAGGAAGCACCCCATTCCCATTAAAGAACGCCGGCAGTGTGCACTGCATCACCCCTCCCCATTCCCCCCCTCCCCATTTCCCCACGCCCCGTTCCCCCCGCCACAGCCCCCCGGCTCACGTGAACAGGAAGCGCAGGAAGCACCCCACAGCGTACGGCAGGCGCATGCCGATCTGACTGAACCGCTGCGCCCACGACCCCGCGGCGCGCGTCTGCAGGTACGTCAGCACGCCGCGATTCGACGCCAGCCTCACATTAACCGACGCGTTCAGCTTCGAAAAATACGGCTCCAACTCCACGTACTTATTCCGTAACTCCACAAACACCACCTCGCCGGGCGTCGCGGGCTCGGGCCGCCCCATCCACGACTGCGGGCCGTTAATAAATCGCGACGGCTCTAGCGGAACGTCCGGGGAGATCACCCAGTCGATTAGGTTCGGCTGGAACGCCGCGGGCAGACACGCGTGGCGGATGATTAACGCGCGGTTGTCTAGGACGGCGACTACGAACGCGGCTATGAGGCCGACTAGTACGTCGCCGTACCCGCCGCACCCGTTCAGCCACTCGAAGGTTAGAAACCGGATCGACGGGTCGTACGGCGGCGGCGCAGCTTCCGACGGCGGCGCTGCGGTGGCAGCAGCGGCGGCAGCGGCTTCGGCGCCGTCGGGCGCGGAAGGAGCCGCGGCGGAGGGGGGGGCAGAAGCAGCAGAAGCAGCGGCAGCGGCAGCGGCGGCGGCGGCAGCGGCGGCGGCGTCGCTCTGGAGTCGAGCCGCGTATGCGTCCTTACTGGCTTGGCGGATGCGCTCGTGCAGCGCCATGTACTGGCCGGGCCACGAGCCGCACATCTTGTCCGAGTCGCCAAAGTCGAAGTCGAGGAAGGGCGGCACGTACTCGTTCATCTGATGCGCCTGGAGGTCCCCGGGGATTGAGGGGATTGAGGGGAGTTGGTAACATCGGAAAGGTTGGAAACGCTGAAGCCAGCCAGCAGCATGTAGAAGTCCTAAGACAAATATTACGGAAATACACCGTGTATTGCTCTAAAGCGCCTCACAAAGAGGCACGTCGGTGTGTTCGAAACAGCTCAAAAGCTGGGGCATCAGAAAGACAGAATCTTGAAGCTTACAGAGGTGCATCGAGCGGCAAGGAACACAAACGCCAAGATGGGCAACGACGCGATGGCTGCCGCAGCTCCAGCGGCCGGCACGAGGTAGCGGCGCCGCCGCCGCAGGCCGAACGGCGAGCGCAGGTCACGCAGCGCCCCCATGCGTGCCTATCTGGCAGTCGGTGCCAGTGGTAGCGGACGGGTTGAGTACCAGCCGTGACTCCAATGGTCGTCAGACGTCGACTGAGACGCGGCACGCTTTACAGCGAAGTGAGATCGATGCACCAGCCTGAACACTATCGTTGGCGCGCCTTACCACTGCACGGAATTAATATCTTTCAGAAGTGGAATAGAAGGAACACCGTAGGTAATAACTGGCACTAGTGGGTGGTAGTAGCATTGTTTGGGGGAGGTGCTGAAACTGCATTTGACTGGGGGGGGGGGGAAACCACCTACACCATAACCTTGAAATGCCTCGGTTGAAATGGTTTGAAGTAGTTTCGGTAGGACTGACTTGGGTTGGGCTGGATTTGAGGTGGCAACTGGGAGTGTGGAGTTGAGGGAGGAGGGTCAGGTCAGCCCAGGTCAACTCGGCAAAGAGATCCAAATTTGCCAGCCAGCAGTTGGCCGGACGTTACAACAAGATTTTTCCTGTATACGCGGTACGCCGCAACTCGATACATGCAGCGAATATCTTTCACAGCTTCCAATAAGACTGATCAAACTACTGAACAAAACAGAGTAGAATCACTACAAATGGCCCTTTCTCTAAGCGGATACACCCGAAAAACTCTGGCAGCACTTATATGAGTATAATGAAGAGGCATGCATAGGACATGGTTGCTTTTAGACATACGATGTCAACATGGACATCACTTCACTCATCCCTTGTTTTGCTCCAGCACAGGCTGCGCCAGTCATCAATCCTCCATGGACACAGCCAGCCCAACTCCAGCCAGAAGCCCTCCACCAAAGAGCATAAGCAGCGCAAAGAAATTATCAACCCAGCCAATGAATGGCAGCCAGTTGGGGATGAGGTCCCACGGCAGCAGCAGGTAAAAGAGAGCAGAGCCGGCGAGGGCAAGACCAAGGGAGAAGAGAGATTTGTCTGAAGCAGTCGCCCAGGCGATGGGGGTGAAGAAGATTGCGAGGGAGAGCAGCAGCTGGAGCAGACAGCGCTTGGCGAAGCTGATAAGGCCCATACGATGGCAGGGAGGGTGGAGGAGGACGGAATGAGATGAGAGGAAGTTAGGGAGGGTGTGAGGTGGAGAGGGGAGGGAGGGAAGGAGGAAGAGGGGGAGAGGGAGGATGTAGGCGGAGAGATTGGCTAGAGCGGGAAGGGGTAGCACCAGATGAAGCTGCAAGGAGGAGCAGGAGATGAAACATAGTAGGGAATATATAAAGGAAGGAAAGTTTAGCAGAGAATTGCGCTGGAGGAGGAGACAGCAAACTGCGCAGCGACAAAGCACTCTACTGGACAACGACTGCAAATGGGATGTGCGCGCGGCAAAATGGACGAAGCTATTGGACCATAGATAACGCATAGAAGACCGCGGCAAGAAAGCGTACAGTGTGTGATAAAATCGGTTCTCGTCGTGGCTGTGTGCTGCCTAGGCGCAAATATCAGCCCAGCAATGAGTGTGACGAGCTCGAGATTGGTTGCGACTCTCCAAATTTGTGATAAGCAAACTCGCACGCGAGAATTTCGCGTGAATGGGCGTCGGGGAATGAGTAAGAAAGGGTTTCCTTCTAGAGACTATGGCGATAAGTTTCTGGAAGTGGGCTTCCCAGCGACTGACAAATTGGCATTCAATTGCTTGGAGTTCAGTCATGAGTTCAGTAAGGGTGCATTCCTAGCTCGTGTCTGACATCAGGTCATCGGCCCTTAGTCAAAATTTTCTCTTTGGAATGTTGATTTGCCCCTATTCCGAGCCACTTCGGGTCTTCCGAGCCTTCACTTCGTGTATGGCCTGATGTCAGACACGAGGAAGGAATGCAGCTTTTCAGTTTCACGCTTTCCGAAGCTAGCTTGGGATTGTCCCAGGAATTTGGCGGTAGGGAAGTTCTGACATTGATCTTTGCAGATGGGAGAGCTGTTGGCAGCACTTGACAGGAGTTTTTCTATACTCGCAATTCCGACCGTATCTCATTGTTATATCCAGAATGAGTAGCATCTTGAGTGTATCATCTACCATAAAAGCCTATTGAAGTTTTAAAGCCCAAGACCTGAATTACCCAACGGAAGTCAACGCTAAAAACTAGGTTCGGGAGGCAGGCACGGAGAGGTTCGGTTGGGTTGCGAGAGATTTTCACTCGCGAAACCAATTTGCAACAAAAGTTTCTCGCTTCCCATGATGGTTGGTGCCCTTCCCACAACCAGAAAAGCGCGAGCTTATCAAACTGTGCACAGTTTGGGATAGCACGCAGAGTATTAGGCATAGACCATACCTGTGTCAAATTATATGTTTACTGTTATCTAGGTTGTAGTGGGTTTAGCCTTAGGGGGTACAGTAAGTTGCTCGACACTTCATTGTATCCCCCTCCTTGCCCTAATCCACATCATTCCTTCCTACCTATCTCAACATGGTATTAAGAGCGAAATGGTCCTTAGGACCGAATTTTTAAACGGGCCCACCATTACAATTTCGATCTGCTGCCCGAGTCGCGCCCCTAGGAGAAACGCGAAACGCGCCCTCGGCGAGACGGTTTTTCAGCCCTAGGCGCGTCCCGTCTCCCTAGGCGCGATTCTTCTGCCCAGTCACGTACGACCCCTCCTGACCGCGCCATAGCTGCCCCGTGCGCCACTCGCGCGGCCCGTAAGCCCCTACGCCCGGTCCCCCCTCGTTCCCGCTGCTGCACGCGCCACTCACGCTGCCCGCCAGCCCCTAGCACGCACCTGCTGCGCGCCCTTTTTTAGCTGCTCCGCGCGCACCTGTTGCGCACCCCTGGTTTGCTAGCCCACAGCCCGCGCGCGCCTACTGCTGCTGTGCGCCGGCTGCTGCTGCTACATGCCGCTGCTGCTCTGCCACTGCGCCCGAGCCCCACCGCCCAGCCCGAGCTGTCACTGCTAGTGCTACTGCAACTACTGCTGCTACAGCTAGTGCTACTGCTACTGCTGCTACTACTGCACTTGCTACAGCTGCTACTGCTGCCCTGCTCTTGCTGTACTACTGCACTGCTGCCCTACTGCCCTGCTGTTACTGCACTACTGCCCTGCTGCACTGCTGCTGCTATTAAGTTGCTGCTGCCGCCTGCGCTGCTGCTGCTGTTAAGCTGCTGCCGTTGTTGTTAAGCTGCTGCTGCCGCCTGCGCTGCTGCTGCTGTTAAGCTACTGCTGCCGCCTGCGCTGCTGCTGCTGCTGCTGCTGCTGCTGCACTGCTGCTATTGCCCTGCGCTGCGCTGTTGCTCTGCACGCGCGGCTGCCCTGCCCTGCTCCGCGCTGCTTCCCTGCACGCGCGGCTGCCCTGCCCTGCTCCGCGCTGTTGCCCTGCACGCGCGGCTGCCATGCCTTTGCTGCTGCTCGAGCCGCCCTGCTGAGCCGAGCCGCTCCGTGCATAAGTGCTGCCCTGCCCCCTGCACTCGTGCCGCTGCTACTGCTGCTACTAGGCTGCTGCTGCCACCTGTGCTGCTACTGCTGCGCTGCTCCTACTGCTCAGCTGCTGCTGCTGCTAGGCTGCTGCTACCGCCTGCGCTGCTGCTACCACCTGTGCTGCTGCTGCTGCCGCCTGCGCTGCTGCTACTGCTGCGCTGTTGCTACTGCTCAGCTGCTGCTGCTGCTGCTGCTAGGCTGTTGCTGCCGCCTGAGCTGCTGCTGCCGCCTGCGCTGCTGCTGCCACCTGTGCTACTGCTGGTGCGCTGGTGCTGCTGCTAAGCTAATGCTCCCGCCTGCGCTGCTCCAGCTGCTGCTGCTGCTAGGCTGCTGCTGCTGCTGCTAGGCTGCTGCTGCCGCCTGAGCTGCTGCTGCCGCCTGCGCTGCTGCTGCCACCTGTACTGCCGCTGCTGCCGTAACTGCCACTCCTGCTGCTAGCTGCCGTTCGTGCTGCTTGCTGCCGTTCGTGCTGCTATGGCGACTCCCACTGTTCTAGCCTTTGAAGCAGTGGGGCAACCTTTAGGGTTTGACTCCTGGCTAGAGGGGCTGCACCTGTACCTCCGGAGTGTCAAACGGGACAACGTCTCCCTGTTTGAGCACACGTCTGGGTCCCTTCCGGCCCCAGAGGCTCATGCTGAACCTACTGCTGACGCTGAGGAGGAGGAGCGGACGCAGTTCCGCGCAGCTCACCTTGCCTACAACCGGTGGATGGCGCGAGACGCTGCCGCCTCACTTGCAGTCCGCCTTCACCTCTCGTTCGACCAGCGAGCCTTCTTCCCCAGGAGCCAGGTGCCGTCGGCCCATGCTTTGTATTCCGCTGTGGTTAGGCGCTACTCTCCCCCCCCTCCTGCAGTCCTAGGCTGTCTTGCGCTGCCTCTTACCTTCCCTGCGTTGTCAGACCTCACCACTGTAGCTAACGAGGGTCGTAGTGGAGCTGGCGGGAGTGGCGGGGGCAGGCACCAGGAGTTAGAGCCTTTGTGTGTCGCTGCTTGTGTGCCTACTAGTACAGTCTATGCACACCCCTCCACTGTTCTCCCGTGTCTCGTAGTCCCCTCTGCCTCCTCTGGCTCGACCGAGGGGGATGACCCTATTGCTGCCGATACAGCGACCTCTCGTCGCTCACCGCGCTTGGAGACACCTCCGGGTTTTCCGCCCCGGACGTCTTCGCCTCCTCTGCAGCCTGGCGCTGCGGACTTCGGGGGCCCAGGTGTTGTTGGGGGTGGTGACACTGAGGGTTTTGGTTCTGGGGGTGCTAGTTCTGGGGGCGCTGCCTCTAGGGGTGCTAGGAGTCCTCTTGTTGGTGGAGTTGGAGGTACTGGCGCTAGAGGTGCTGGGTCTGGGGGTGCATTGCAGTCGCTGCCACGGCAGTCTATCTTCTTTGAGCAGCCGTCATCGTGGCTACCAGCCGACGCCCACTTGTACTACTCCTCCTCTATTGTTTCCGCCGCCTGCCTCCCCACTGCCTGCTCCTGCTCGATACGTCCCGCTGTCCGTCTTCCTGACTGGGCGTCGGGAGCCTGTGTCTTGTGCCGCCTCCCCTGCTCCCTCTCGTGTTACTCGGGAGCCTGTTATCTTGCCGTTACCTCCCCCGTCTTCTCTTCCTCCTGTTCCTGACCCTGTGTCTGACCTTGCTCGTGCTGCCAGCCCGACTGTCCCTCGTAGTCTAGCCGCGCTTGTGACTGCACCTGCTTCTTCGACTGCTGCTGCTTCTGCCTTAGTAGCTGATCTCGCAGGCTTTGCCGCTACTTGCCGTCGTACCTACCTTACTAGTCTCGTCTCTATCTCTTCGTGTCCTCCGTCAGTTGGGGGTGAGTTTGCCCTTGGTTGTGACGTCCTTGAGGACACACAGTTCCAGCTGATGTACCATCCTGCGCACTGGCGGGCTGCTAGGAGGGTGTTGCGCTACCTGGTCAGACTAGCGAGCAGAACGTAGCACTTTGCACTTCGTTCCTTTGCCATGCGAGTGTTGCAGCAGCGTTCCCAGCTTCGCCTTTGTACGTGGCCACACGAGCCAACACTGCTTGTCTCTTGATCTTGTCTTGTACTCTGATATATAAACCTGCATGTTTTTTGTTACTAGGTTGTAATCATTGTACTCCTTGCTCTATTATAAAACTGCATGTGAACTGGCCTTGTGGCCGCTTGCTTGTGCTCAGAATGCGTGGTGATCTTGAGATCCACCCTTAGCTTGCTTTGTTTTGTTTCTTCTCTTGACTGGTCTTGTGACCGCTTGTTGTGTTTGCTATCCCCCACTTCGCCTATGGGGGTGTGTCAAATTATATGTTTACTGTTATCTAGGCTGTAGTGGGTTTAGCCTTAGGGGGTACAGTAAGTTGCTCGACCCTTCATTGTATCCCCCTCCTTGCCCTAATCCACACAATTCCTTCCTACCTATCTCAACAACCTATAGACAGGGCAGGGCGTCGGCGTTCACTCAAAAGGGAGTAGATGCGCCATATGATTTGGGTGGCGCGGATTTGCAATAATGACGCGCAAAGCTAGTTTGCGCTGGGTGAAGATTATTGTGTCGAAATGCAGGTTATTGTGCAACTACTCCGTAGCGTAAACTCGTGGCGAAAATCGAATCGCAACCGTTCGCCCAAACGTGACCCTCCCCTCGCCCTCGCTTTCCTTTCCCACGCTTCCGCTCTCTTTCGCCCGCGTCGTCGCCATCGCTTCCGCAGCTCGTCGCGTGCCCGTCGCCTTCGCTCCGCCCGTCGCCTTCACTTCTCCCCCGTCACCTTCACTTCTCCCCCGTCGCCTTCACTCCCCCCCCTCTTCCGTTGCCTTCATTTCCCCCTCCCGTCGCCTTCACTTCCCCCTCCCGTCGCCTTCACTTCCCCCTCCCGTCGCCTTCACATCCCCCTCCCGTCGCCTTCACTTCCCCCTCCCGTCGCCTTCAATTCCCCCTCCCGTCGCCTTCATTTCCCCCTCCCGTCGCCTTCATTTCCCCCTCCCGTCGCCTTCATTTCCCCCTCCCGTCGCCTTCACTTCCCCCTCCCGTCGCCTTCACTTCCCCCTCCCGTCGCCTTCACTTCCCCCTCCCGTCACACTCGCTTCCCCACCCGTCACCTTCACTTCCCCTCCCATTGCCTTTCACTCTCTCCTGCTCAATCTCTTTCCCCCTGCTCACTCTCTTCCCCCCTGCTCACTCTCTTTCCCCTTGCTCACTCTCTTCCCCCCTGCTCACTCTCTTCCCCCCTGCTCACTCGCTTCCCCCCTCCTCAATCTATTCCCCCCTGCTCACTCTCTTCCCACTCTCTTCCCCCCTGCTCACTCTCTTCCCCCCTGCTCACTCTCTTCCCCCCTGCTCACTCTCTTCCCCCGTGCTCACTCGCTTCCCCCCTCCTCAATCTCTTTCCCCCTGCTCACTCACTTCCCCCTCCTCATTCTCTTTCCCTCTGCTCACTCCCCTTGTTCTAACCCCACTTTCCCCATTTCTCACCCATTTTCCCCCTTCACGCTCTCTTACCCCCTCTGCTCGCCCCTGTTTTCCCAACTCACGCCTATACTCACTCTCTCCCCCCCTGCTCACTCTCTTCCCCCCCTGCTCATTCTCTTTCCCCTTGCTCACTCTCTTTCCCCCCTTCTCACTCTCTTTCCCCCTTCACGCTCTCTTTCCCTCCCTTCCGCCCGTTGCCCCCCTTCGTCTCGCGCTCGTCCCCTCGCAATCCCCGTCTCTCTCTCCGCCCGTCGCCCTCGTTTTCCCCGTCGCCCTCCCTTCCACTCCTCGTTGCCCTCGCCATCCCTCCCTTCTCCCTTCCCATCTCGCACACTTGTCACGCCCCCTTTCCAACCCGCACATACACCCTTCCCTTCTTCCCTGTTTCCTCGTATCCCCTGCGCTGCTTCCCCCCATCCTCCGACTTGCTCCCCCCATCCCCTTCCCTGCTTCCCCCCAACCCCTTCCCTGCTCCCCCCCATCCCCTTCCCTGCTTTCCCCCTTCCCCTTCCCTGCTTCCCCCCGTCCCCTTCCCTCCTTCCCCCGTCCCCCTCCCAGCATCCCCCCATCCGCTTCCCTGCTCACCCCCATCCCCTTCCCTGCTCCCCCCCATCCCCTTCCCTGCTTCCCCCTATCTCCTTCCCTGCTTCCCCCTATCGCCTTCCCTGCTCACCCCTGCTCCCTCTGTTTCACCCTTGCTCCCTCCCCTTCTTCTCTGCTCACTCTCTTCCCCCTTGCTCACTCTCTTTACTTCTGCTCACTCTGTTCCCCCCTGCTTCCTCTCTTCCCCTCTGTTCAATCTGTCCCCCGCTGCTTCTTCTCTTCCCCTCTGCTCATTCCGTTTACTGTCTTTCCCCCTTCACTCACCCCCATACCCCCCAATGCAGTTACAGGTGCTCAGCACCAGATGTGGCTTTACCACGGCCTGGTTTATTGCTTGCAGTGTAGCAGACAAAACCGGAAAACAACATTACACATACACCCCCTAGCTTTGTTCCCTTCTTGAGTCTGGTGATTCCCCTTACTTTACAGATACGGTAATATATTAATTGTTGAACTCCTTGGTATTGTTGGTCATATGTATGATTGCTCTGAGGCTCATAATCCTGTATTATAAAAAAAGAATCCAATATATGGCATGGCTATACGTGTCTTAATATCAGACAGCTAGCACATGCACAACTAGATGCAGAGCAGACCTGTCCAAACACAAATCAAGAAGTCAGATGTGACGTGGCTGAAGTATAAGGGAATGACAACTGGCAAATGAGGAAGGGAGGAACGGAGGAAGGGAGGAAGTGAGGAATGCAGGAATGAAGGGAGGAAGTGATGATGGGAGGAAGGGAGGTAGGGAGGACGCTTGGGGGAGAAGCAGAAGGGAGGGGAGGAAGAGAGGCTGGGGAGGAGGGTGGGGAGGAGGGTGGGGAGGAGGGTGGGGAGGAGGGTGGGGAGGAGGGTGAGGAGGAGGGTGGGGAGGAGGGTGGGGAGGAGGGTGGGGAGGAGGGTGGGGAGGAGGCTGGGGAGGAGGCTGGGGAGGAGGGTGGGGAGGAGGCTGGGGAGGAGGCTGGGGTGGGGCGGAATGGGGTGGGCCAGAAAGGGGTGGGGCGGAATGGAGTGGGGCAGAAAGGGGTGGGGCGGAATGGGGTGGGGCGAGGCGGAATGGGGTGAGGCGGATTGGGGAGATGAGGGATGGGGAGATGAGGGATGAGGAGATGAGGGATGGGGAGGTGTGGGATGGGGAGGAGAGGGCTGGGGAGGAGAGGGATGGGGAGGTGAGGGATGAGGAGGTGAGGGATGGGGAGATGAGGGAAGGGGAGATGAGGAATGGGGAGATGAGGAATGGGGAGATGAGGGAAGGGGTAATGAATGAACGTGTATGCGACGGAAGGGTGCTGCTGACCACGCACCCTCCCACACCCCACGCGATGGGAAGGGATGAGAGGGTGGGCGGCATGGGTAGAGAAGCGATGGTGAATAGGGGGAACGTGATGGGCAGGGGAGTGATGACGACGTGGAGAGAGGAGAGAAGGGAGGTCGGCGGGAAGGCTAAGCGAGGACGATGGGAGGGCAAGCGTGGGCGACAGTGGCGGTGGGCGACGGTGGCGGTGGGCGACGGTGGGGAGAAGCGTGGGCGACGGTGGGGGGAAGCGTGGGCGACAGTGGGGGGAAGCGTGGGCGACGGTGGGGGGAAGCGTGGGCGATGGTGGGGGGAAGCGTGGGTGACGGTGGGGGGAAGCGTGGGCGACAGTGGGGGGAAGCGGGGGCGACGGTGGGGGGAAGCGTGGGCGACGGTGGAGGGAAGCGTGGGCGACGGTGGGGGGAAGCGTGGGTGACGGTGGGGGGAAGCGTGGGCGACGGTGGGGGGAAGCGTGGGCGACGGTGGGGAAAGCGTGGGTGACGGTGCTCCGAAGCGTGGGCGACGGTGGGAGGAATCGTGGGCGATGAGAGGGGAAACGTGAGGGAAGGTGGGGAAAGGCGTGAGCGACGGTGTGGGGGAAGGCCGGAGGAAGCGTGAGCGGCGATAAGGGGAAGCGTGAGCGACGATGGGGGAAAGCTTGGGCGACGGTGGGAAGAGTGGGCGTGTGCGTGGGGAGGTGTGTGAGAGACGGTGGGGAGAAGCATGGGGGACGCGGAAGGCGATAGGTCCAAATGCGATGTTTGGGAAAGAGCTAGGAATAAAAGTGAAAATGCTCATGGCCTATGCTGTAGTGGCGTTTTATTCTATCTCTTCGCATACTCTAATCGCTTCGCGTACTATGGAAATCACACGACCTGAATTACCGAAGAAGGCAAATTGTGCACATTTTGAGCCCTTGTTCCTTCAGGAGGGTGTGGTTGGGACTCTCGCCAACCAAACCTGTTCTGCTCTACGACTCTGTGTTTCTTGGCGCAATGTTTTCTGGTAACCAGCCTGGCTCTGGAGGTCAACTGTGGGTTCGGTAGGCAAACTGTGCACAGTTTGCCTTCCTTTTTTTGTAATTCAGGCCTTGGGTTTAGGGTTTTTATTGTGTGCCTCACAGCTTTGGGGCAACTTTTCAAATTTCAAAAGTTTTTGAACCCAACATTTCAAATGTATACTGCAGCTTTAAACTGGAGCTCGAGAAATGCTAGTTTCCCCGACATTCCCCCTGCTGACAGCCCAGCTGCAGAGCTCTTTCCTCGAGATCACTTCCCTCCATCGCAGCCGCACATTCGCGCAGCATGCGATTTCCCCGAGGCTAAGGCATCCTCCTCCCCCTCCATCCACTATCTGCCCGCACTCCGCTGCCTGCTGTCTGCCCAACGGACACATGTGTGAGAAGGTTTGCTCATGAGGTCCTCACTGCTGCTCTTCAACCCTACAACATACAACGCACTCAAACTCCACTCCCTTGACCATTGCTTTTCCTTGTGTACAGCTGCCTCGAGTCGTGGCACTTTTATGGCGGCTTCGTCAGGTGGTCACGCCGAGACTCTTGGCAATCGCTAGTGTTTCTGTTCCAGGATTTCTGAAGAGTGAGGTCCCGTGGAGCTATGGCAACTGCACCCCGACCCTATGCGCATTACATGCAAGTGCTTTTTGCGTCGGCCCCCTCCATCCTGGCAATTAATTGCACTCGCGCTCGCGCATCATATTGATTACGTGGATCGATTAACTACACAGCGGAACAGTTAGAAAGTGAATTCGTCTTTTTTTTTTCCTGGACAATTCCTCTTTTCTTTCGCTCCTCACACCCGCTGCGATGGTGGGTCTTTCCTCACAGAGGAAACAGCGAGCCCTTCGCATGAAGGAGGCCGAGCCGTCGCCGCTTCCCGTGGGCATCCTGAGCGACCGTAAGCGGAAAACAATGTCGTCAGGCGCGTCGCAACCAGCCGCACAGCAACCAGCCAGCGACGCCGGTGCGACTCATGGCTCGCTCTTGAATTTCATCAGCAGTTTCATCCCACTCGCCTCCGATCCCGCCAAACGGCAACGGCTACATCCTGCCGCGACCTCCCTCTCTCGCGCCGCGGCTGGCTTCGGCAGTCGAGAAGGCGTTCCTGCCGGATCATTTCCTCACGGCTTTCACGCCTTGGACGGAGGAACCAACATGCCAGCGTGGCAGGATGCTGACGCTGGCAAGGCAACTGAGGCGGGAAAGGGTCAGGAGGAAGGGGAGGAGGAGGAAGAGGAGGGGGAGGAGGAAGAAGGGGAAGAGGGACGGCAGGAGGCTGGGAGAAGCGTGTCACGGGCCGTGTACATAGAACCCGTGGGCCCGCGTCAAAGCCTCTTACCCATGGCCGCGCAGTCTCTTGTTCAGCGGCTGATGCCACGTGGCATGAACGGGCCGGTGCGGCGGTCGCCGCAGTCCAAGCGGGTCGCTCTAGCGTCGCCTGGTGGAGCCGCGCAGCAACCGCGCGCGCACGCGATTATGCAGTCGCAGCCGCAGGATCGGCGGCAGGCTCTCGCGCACGCGCTTGCGTCGTCTCATGCGCTGGCGCCGTCTCATCCGCAGGCGCATCCGCAGGCGTTGTTGTCGTTGTCACTCGGTGGAGCTATGGATTCGGACAGGCGGGGTGGGGCTGTGCAGATCATTTCGAGCCCATGGCAGTTAGACGATGGAGGAAAAGAGGCAGCAGCAGCAGCCGCAGCAGGTGGAACGGCCGCAGTGCCGAGATTGTTCCAATCCCCAGGGCGAAAGGATCGGTGGATCGCGACGCTTGGCAGGAAGAAGCGGAGGGAGTCGGGGGTGAGTGGGTCTGGGAGGAACGCGGTTGCTTCACCTGCACGAGCAGCAGCCGCCCGAATAGCACGAGCACGCGCAGCAGCAGGAGGAGGTGGAGTAGGAGGATCATCACGGGCGTCGGAGGAGGCAGCTGCAAGGGCGGTGACGGGCGCATGGATTGGGGTGTCGCGGAAGGTGGTGGGCGCGCGATGGCAGCAGCAGATGGCGGAGTATAAGCGGTTGGCGGAGCGGGGCGCGCACATGACCCCGGGGGAGATGGAGCAGCAGAGGCAGCGGTTTGAGGGGAGGCCGGGGCTAGACGCTCTGCTTGGTGAGACGGGCGGGCGGATAAAGGAAGGGGAGGGAAGGGGTGTCGTTGTTGTTGTGAGCTCGAGGGTCTCATCTGTGTTCTTTCCCCTCCCCTCCCCCTCCACGCCCCCTCCCCTCCCCCTCCTTCCCGCCTCCTTTCGCCTTCCCTCTGTCCCCCCCCCCCCCCCCCCCTCCCTATCCCGCCCCTCGCATGTTCCTTCCTGAAATTTCCCTTGCCCCTCCCATCTTTCCCCCCTTCCCTCCCTCTCCCCTCCTCCCCGCCTCTCCCACCCTTCAAACTCTCCTACTTTTTGTTCCTTCTGCGTTTCTCACCGCGTGCTTCCTTACATACCAGCTTGTGCGCTGTCCGTTCTCACTCGTACCCTCCATCCATCTCTCCCCACTCAACAGCCACGGCTCCGCGCCATAACGGAGGGGTCGCTGGAAAGCCTTCGCAAGCCGAGCAAGCGGAACCAGTTGATTGGGAGGAGGGAGAGGAGGGCGAGGAGGGAGGGGACGCTTGCGAAGAAGCGGTGTTTGGCGTTGCACCTATATTACCTGCAGCAGCAGCGGCAGCAGCAGCGGCAGCAGCAGGAGCAGCAGCAATAACCCCTGCCTCTGGCGCGGCCGCTGCCGCCATTGCCCGTGCCCCTGCTCCTGCCATCGGCGCCACTGCTGCTGTGATTGATGCAAGTGTGGGAGCAGCGGCAGGCGCCGACCCCTCCGCTCTGGCCTCCTCCGCGCAAGCTGCTCTCGCGACAGTATCGACCTCTGAGCGCCTGCGCGCGGAGCGAAATCGGATCCAGCAGGAGTGGAAGCTGCGTACGCGGGAGAGGGAGCGGCAGCATGAGGAGAAAAAGGCGCAGATGGAGGAGGTAGAGAGGGAGTTTTTGCGGATGGAAATGGAGAGGAAGGACACGAGGGGGCGCGTGCAGGAGCGCAGAGCAGCAGCGGAGGAGCTACAGCGCGCCAAGGCGAAGGTGAGAGTGACGAGTGGGTGATGTGTGCGTGTGTCTATGCGAGGGAGGGTGTATGGGTGATGTGTGTGGGAGTGCGGATGTTGAGAGGCATATGACTCAACAGTGCGTGGGGGGAGGGAGTGGGTGGGGGTGGAGAGTGGGTGGGCGTGCGTGTGCTGTTGACGCACTGCCGCGCACGTGCTGTTGATGTTTTGCGGCACGTTTAGAGCGGCTGGGCGTGCGTGTGCCGTTGACATACAACAGGAAATTATAATTTCCTGATTCTCTTCTATCCACATTTCCTCCTCTGCGGTCGACCTTCCCTCTCCCCCCCTCCTTCCGTCTCCACTCCACTCTCATCTCCTCCCCTTCCCCCCCCCACTCTTCCCCCCCCCCCTCTCCTCTCCTCCCTTCCCATCCCCCTCTGCAACTCAGCCTGTGGTGCGAGTGTTATCAGAGGAGGAGGAGAAGCAAGTGAAGCGCGCCTTCCAAGGGGGACACAGGTGCGTGCCATGATAATGGGCATTGGTGATGGGTGGGTGCTGGTGATGGGTGGGTGCTGGTGATGGGACGCTGGTAGTTAATTAATGGGTGCTGGTCGTTGATCCACACTGTTTGTTACCACCACACACACACAGCGGATGCTGGTTATGAAAAGGAAAAGGGGTGCTGGCCTTGTTGCTGGCCTTGTTGCTCGGCCATCACCACCTGGTTGCTTACGTTCACGGGAGCATCTCTCAGCTGCTTTTGTTGGTTTTTGGGACGTCTCAAAAGTCGTTCACGGGAGCATCTCTCAGCTGCTTTTGTTGGTCTGTCAACTTGTAAATAGGCTCATCACTTGCTCTTGCTGCGGTCTATTTCACAGCTGCTCTCTCTGCCCCCCTCCTCCCTTCAACCCCTCTCTCTCCAACCCCTCTCCCTCCCCCTTTCCATCCTTCTCCACCCTCCTCCCTCTCTCCCATGCTCTCTGTGTTGTTCATTCATTGGCTGTGCAAGAATCATTGCCTGTCACTTCACGTCCCTCGCTACCACGGGCTGCTCCCATCCCACGTCAACCCACCTTCCCGGTCTTCATATCATCATTCCTGGCCTTCCTTCCTTTGCGAATGCCCCTTCCCCAACCCGGAAAAGTGGCCCATTCCTTGCATCCGCATTGTCCTCTCTCCCCCCTGTTTGTCCTGGCGCAGTGGGGAGGAGCTGGCGTTCCACGAGGGGGCGAACATCGTAGTCACGCGCAACCACATGCGCTGCCCTTCACCCCCTTCTCCCCTTCACCCCCTCTGCTCCCCGTGCGCCGTGTCGCAGTGGGGAGGAGCTTGCTTTCCACGAGGGGGCGAACATCATAGTCACACGCAACCACATGCGCTGCCTCATGCCAGGGGGGTGGCTCAACGACGAGGTGCGTGGGGGAGGGATCTGTGGGAATGGGGGGAATGGGGAAAATGGGGGGAACGTGGGGGAAGGGGGAAAAGGGGGGGGAGGATGAGGGCAACAGGGGCAACGGGGTGGGAGACACTCAGAAAGTGTTAACCTCTAACTGGTCGTGTGTGTGTGTGTAGGACCACACACTTTGTGCATTCCTTCACCGCCCCTCACTCTTTCCCACTCCTCACTCTTCCCCGCTTCTCACTGTGCCCCTCTTCCCCCTTTCTCACCTTTCCCTTCTGTTTTTCTCACCCCCACGGCTCCCCGCTCCCCCCCTCCCCCCTCTCCCCTCGCTCCTCTCCCTCTGTACCCCCCTCCCATCCCTCTCTCCCCACCTGCTTCTCCCTCTCGTTCCTTCCCTCCCCTTTCTCTTGCCCAGGTGATCAACATGTACTTAGAGCTGCTCAAGGACCGCGAGAGGCGCTCACAGCATTTGCCTCCCCCTGCTGTCTCCCTTTGCCCCCCCAATCTGCTCCCCTCTCTCCCCCCCTCCCCTCCCCCAGGTGATCAACATGTACTTAGAGCTGCTCAAGGACAGAGAGAGGCGCACACAGCAGCCCGGCAGCAGCAACAGCAAGGGCCGCATGCCCGTGTGCCACTTCTTCAATACCTTCTTCTACGCGCGGGTCAGTCATTGCAATGCAGTGCTGGGGGAGGGGGTGGGAAGAGGTGGTGCAGGGCTGCAGGGGGGACGGGGCAGAGGAGCAGCTAAGGGGGAGGGGGGCAGGCGGAAGGCCCATGTGCCACTTCTTCAATTCGTTTTTTTATGCGCGGCTCAGTGCAGTGCAGGGGGGTGTGTGCGATGAAGGGGAAGAGAGGGTATGGGGGGGGGAATGGGGCAGGCATGCACTGCACTGCATTGTCCCGCGCATAAAAGAATGTGTTGAAGAAGTGGCACACAGGCCTTCCACCTAATGCGGGTGCGAGTGGGTTAGCGCGGGTGAGTGCGGTTAAGTGCGGTTAAGTGCAGTTGAGTGCGGGTGAGTGTTTTTTCTGCATCACGTTTTGGTGTTTCCAAGGTACTGCAGTGTTTCCAAGGCACTGCAGTGTACTGCAGTGTCACGCGTGTGTGTGTGTGGCCAACTCCTCCCCCTTATCGGCTCCTTATCGTATGGGCATCGTGCTTGCGAGGCTGAGGCAGGGGGATGCCATGGCATGGCATAGCAGCAGCAATAGCAGCCTTTTACGTCGACTATCCGTTTTTTTAGGAGCCTCAGAAATGGTTACCTGAATGCACTCTTTCTCTTGCACATAATATTCGTCCCTCTTCTTTCCCCACTTCCCCCTCCCCCATTCCCCGCTCCCAATTCGCCCTTCCCCATTTTCCCTCCCCTTCCCACTATTCTCTCCACGTGCCTTTGCCTGTCCATGCCCGTGCACTCTGTGTGTGCGTGTGTATGTGCATGTGTGCTTCTCTGTTCTTCCGCCTCTGCCTCTGCCTCTGCCTGCATGTTTCTGTGTATGCACCACCCACCAGCTCACGGGCACGGGGCAGTACCTCTACAACTCAATACGTCGCTGGACCACACCCAAGCGCCTCGGCTACTCACTCGTTGACTGTGACAAGGTGAGGCTGGGGCTGTGGGTGTTCGTGTTGAGAAGCGACAGGTAGCGGGAGAGAGGCGTGAAGGGGGAGTTACTTGGGGGAGAAGCTGGGAAGGAGCAGGCGTGAGGGGAAGAGGCATGACAGACAGTGTGTGTACTGCACATATTGTGGACCGTTGCGAGTGAAGTGGAGAAATGAAGAAGGAAATAGGAAATGGGCATCTGGGTAAGCGCATTGGGATGCACAATCTCTAGTGCTTCTTCCTGCCCTTTTTCCCGCCTCTCCGTCTCCCCCTCGCCTCCAGCCCTTCAGATTGTAGTGCCAGTGCAGCAGGGCGTGCACTGGGTGCTGCCACAGGTTTTTCTATCATGAACGGTACCACTTATGAGAATTCTTCTGAGGCTCCTCAAAAGTCCTCTGGGTGCTGCTACAGGTTCTATCATGAACGGTACCACTTTTGAGAATTCTCAAAAGTGATTTCCACAGGTTCTATCATGAGTGGTACCACTTTTGAGAATTCTCAAAAGTGATTTCCACAGGTTCTATCATGAGCGGTACCACTTTTGAGAATTCTCAAAAGTGATTTCCACAGGTTCTATCATGAGCGGTACCACTTTTGAGAATTCTCAAAAGTGATTTCCACAGGTTCTATCATGAGCGGTACCACTTTTGAGAATTCTCAAAAGTGATTTCCACAGGTTGTATTATGAGCGGTGTCTTACCCCACCCCCCAACACCCCACGCCCCTCTCCCACTCCCCCCTCCCCTCTATCCGCCCATCAGATCATAGTGCCGGTACACCAAGGCGTGCACTGGGTGCTGGCCGTCATTGCACCGCGGGACAAGCGCCTCATCTTCCTCGACTCGCTGCACGGCCAGGACCGCACGTGCCTTGAGAACCTGGTGCGTGCTGGGCGAGGGGGTGGGCGAGGGAGTAGGTGAAAGCTGAGTATAGTGACGCGCTTCTGAGGCGAAACTCGCTGCATGGCCAGGACTGCACGTGCCTTGAGAACCTGGTGTGTGTGAGGGGAGTGGGGAAGGGTGGGGTTGGGATGGGGAGTTGGGGGAAAAGGGGTAGCGGATGTGGGTGACTGCTTGTGTGACTCCCTGCACGGCCAGGACCACACGTGCCTTGAGAACCTGGTGCGCTGGGAGTGGGAGAGAGGGAGAGAGAGAGAGATGGAGACAAGGAGAGGGAGTGGGGTGGGTGGGAGAGGGGAGTCGAGAGAAGTGCTTGGAAAGGAGTCGAGAGAAGAAGGTTTTGAGCACACGGCAGAGGGGCTTATCGTTTGTTCTCTAAGAATCTGGTGCGTTTTGAGTTGACTCACAGGTCACCTCATTACAATGGCACACAAAATCTTTCAGCACGCAGCAGAGGGGTGACCGTTTGTTCCTCGAGAATCAGGTGCGTGTTGGGCATTGCGGAGGGGCGTGTGCAGGGGAGTGTGTGGGTGGGGGAAGAGGGGAGAGGGAAGGGAAGAGGGGAGAGGGAAGGGAAGAGGGAGGTGGAGAGTTGAGTTGAGCTGAGTGGAGTGGAATTCCTAATTGAGACGAGTCGCATTCTGTGCGGCCTGGCCTGCAGAAGATGGTGCGGTGCACTGGGCAGTGGGTGGGTGGGGCTCAATACCCTTGGATGCTTTTCAGATTCCTCTCCCCCTCACCTCCTCTCCTCCCACCTCCTCTCCCCCTCCCCACCTTTCGCTGTCTCATCCTCTTCCCCTCTCCTTCGATTCCCATCTCTCCCGCTCTCTTCCCTCCCCCTATCCCTCTTTACCCACTCTCCCCCTTTCCCCTCCCCCTATGCCTCTCAACCCCTCTTTTCTCCCCCCTCACCCTCTCCCCGTCCCCTCCCCCTACCCCAGGCGCGCTACTATGCGGACGAGGTGAAGGACAAGACAGGCAAGGTGGTGGACACGAGTGGGTGGGAGCGCTGCTTCCCACGGAAAATCCCCCAGCAGATGAACACGTGAGGCCGCAGGAGGGGGGTTGGGGTTGGGGTAGTGGGACAGGAGAAAGGGAGGGCGTGGGGTTATGTTAAGAGAGAAGGGGAGGAGAGGGGAGGGGGAGGGGGAGGGGCAGGGAGGGGATGGAGAGAGGGATGGAGAGAGGGATAAAGAGAGGGATGGAGAGAGGGATTGAGGGGAAGAGATTGAGGGGAAGGGAGGGAATTTCTCTTCCTTCCTACTGTGCAGGTGCTTCTGCTGCGCTCATCTCGTCTATTCCCTCCTTCGACTCCGCTCCCTCCCTGAGACTGTCAAGTCCTTCTCACCCCGTCCCCCCTTGTGCCATGAGTGCAGGTGGGACTGCGGGGTGTTCATGCTCATGTTTGCAGAGTGTGAGGCGCGGGCCATGTGCTCTCACTACAACTTCTCCCAGGTCCGTCCGTTGGTCAGTCGGTCGATCTGTTATTTGAGAATCCTTAAAGAACTGATCTGTTAGTTGTTCAGTCAGTCTGTTGCTCGGTCGGTCAGGCGTATGTTGAATTCAGTAAGGCCTCCTCTCTCCCCCCTCTCCCTCATGTATATCCTGCTGTCCTCTCTGTTCCAGAAGAGCGCTCTAGAAAGCGCACTACCCTCGATCCTCCACACCCGTGCAACTCCTTCCTCCGCTGCTTGCCTCTTGCTTGTCGTTGGCCCGTGCAGAAGGACATAGGAGTAGTTCAGGTAGAAAGCGCATTGTCCTCCAACCTCCACGTTCGTGCTGACCCCCTGCTTCCCACCCTCCCTCTCTCCCTCTCCCACTCCCACTCCCACTCTCCCTCTCCCTCTCCCTCTCCCTCTCCCTCTCCCTCTCTCTCTCCCTCTCCCTCTCCCTCTCCCTCTCCCTCTCCCTCTCCCTCTCTCTCTCTCCCTCTCCCTCTCCCTCTTCCTCTCCCCCTCTCTGTTCATCGCTCACCCCTGCAGAAGGACATGGAATACTTCCGAAAGCGTATTGTGCTCGATCTCATGAGGAAGCACGTGGACTGACGAGCACGTGGCGCCGCAACCATGACGTGGCACCATGTTTGCTGATGTGGCATGTACCCGTTTGACAACGTGGCACACGGAGCGGCAATGCTTGCTGACATGTTGACACAGGGCAGAACAACTGACAAGCCAATGAAGTGGGGGGAGAGAGGGGACGGGGAGGGGAAGGAGGGGGAACAGGACAGAACCACATTTAACTACACGCAGGTGGCTGATATGGAACCATGCACATATGTTTGTTATATCTAAAGGGTGTTTCGAGAAGGGGGCTCTCAATAAGCGTGGCGCTGTGGTGTTCTCTTGTTGGTTAATGGAGATGTCACAGGCGCTATGTCCATGGCCTGTGATGGGTCACGGGTGGTGCTGCTGCAGGAATGGTGCGAGTATTTTGAGTTGTAGATTTACTGTCAGCTTAGTGTGGGTGCTAGCAGGTTAAATGGGAACAATTGTGAGGAAGTAACATCATTGTTCCGCTGCTCCTACAGAACCAGCACTAGTGAAACGAAATTTATGACTTCCGAAAGTCACTTCTTATCTCCAGCTTCATCCAAGGGATGGAGATAATTAGCTGCCGTTATCGGATCATGATTGCAAAGTGGGCAATGGGCATAGTAGTATCGAAGTGGGTGAAGCTAGCAGCCTCTAGGACTCGTTGTGGGTCGTAGCCCATATGCTGCAGCTGCCCTTGAATGTGAATCGTGACGGTTGCGTGCACCATCACCACAGAATCCCGTACTGCAAGCAGCACCTTGCGCAATTCTGCGGTTTTGAGAATTCTCAAAAGCGACCTTGCGCAATTGCACCGCTTGCGGAAGCCATGGCGCTCGCGTCGCTAGCGTGCGCGTCTCCTACCGTCGCCGCGTCCTCACTCGCCTTTGTCGCAGCGCGCGCAACCTCCTTTCGCCGTCACTACGCCTACGCCGCTCTCGCGCTGCGCCTGCCGCTCATGCGGCCGCCGTTCCCCGCGCTTTCCGCCGATCCCTCCGGCCTATGCACGCGCAACCAGCCCCCGTTACGCGCACAACCCCAATCGCAAGCGCAGTCACAGCCGCGAATGCAGGTCCCAATGGCGGCTAGCGGTGGGGGGAAGGGTTTTGGGGGTAGCAGCGGAACGTCCTCTTCTAGGCGCAGCAGCTCCGGGGGACGCGGCGGTAGAGCGGGAGGAGGAGGGGTAGGCGGAGGCGGAAGCGGAAGGGGGGGCGGAAGTGGGTTGGCGGATGCGCGCAGCAGCGATCCCGCGGAGGCTTTCGGGTTGCCGGAACGATCAGTGGCGCTAAACGAGCTCATGCGCGTGCGTGCCTCCTTCACCCCTCTTCCCTCAACCCATCCCGCTCCCTTTTGACCCGCATGCGCGGTGAACGATTTGATGCGCGTCTGTACCTCCTCCCCCCTTCCTTGTTGGCCCCGACTTAATATTTCATCCGTTTTTCCCCGTATGCACACTGAACGAGCTTGTGCGCTTGTGCGCCTCCTCGCCTTCCCCATCCTCCCCCGCTCTTCATCCCGCCCCAGGCTTTTCCCAAACTAGGCACCTCCCTTGGAAAGCCCTCTTTTTCGTTCTCGAGTTTCGTTCGGATTGCGAATTGGGAGTTGCCTGCAAGTACTCCGTTCAAAACGTCCCCGTTTTGTCCGGATGCCCCTCCATTCCGCCGCCTTTTCCGCCGGCCAATCAGGTGCTGCTAGAGGAGGAGATGCGCCCGCCGCACGAGCGCATGCAGCACGCGCGCGAGCAGCGCGACCTGGCGGAGGCGGCGCTGGAGACGCGCCAACGCTGGGATCGGCGGCGGGAAGCGCGCGGCCGGCGCGCGGAGAGGCAGGGGCGCGCGGAGGCCGCCATGGACGCGATGGACGCGGAGGAGGCGGCGATTGCGGCGGCCATGGCGAAGGTCAAACCGGGCGACCCTAGCCAGTGAGTAGCGTGGCGTGGCGTGGCGTGGCGTGGCGTGGCTTGGCGTGGCGTGGCGTGGCGTGGCCTGGCGTGGCTTGGCATGGCGTGATATGGTTTTTGCCAGTAGCGCGGACCCTGACTTAGAGATACCATCCTAGAGAGAAACCCGAGACAAGAACACTTTGCAGATGGATAGCCGCAGTAACCGCAACAGCCGCAACAGCCGCTCTAGCTCTAGCTGCGTTGGGCGCGAATGGCGAGGATTTATCCGGGTTATGTAACCAAGGGAGACAAGCCGCGAGGCAGGGAGAGCGCTAGTGGTCAGGTTGTGGTTTTGATCAAGAGTGAGGTTTAAGCTGCTGCTACGTCACGTGTCTTCTCGTGCCCCACCGTTCCCCGGGCCCCCACCCTCCCCCGCTTCCCATCTTCCCTCCCCTTTTCCCCCTTTCCCCGTCTCCAGCGCCAATCCCCCCCAACATCATCCCCCCCCGGAGGAGGAGCTGCGGATGCGCAAGGCCTGGGCTGCGCGCCAAGCAACCCTTTCCACCCCCTCATCCCCCACTCCCGCTGCCCCTCTCCCCGCACCCTCCCCTTCTCCCCCCCCCTCCCCCCCCTCTCTTTCCGCCTGCCCGCAACCTCGCCCCTCCTTTCCCCCCCCAGCCTGATCCCCGCGGAAGAGGAGCTACAGATGTTCAAGGAGTGGGCGGCGCGCAAGCTGCGGGGCGCGCCCAGGGGCGCGGAGGGCGTGGCGGTGGCGCGCGGACTGGCGCACATGCGGCGCACGCTGGAGGGCGCGGTCAGGGAGGAGCAGGACGCGCGCAGGCGCGGAGGCGCAGGCGGAAGCGGGGGCAGCGGGGGGGTTAGGGAGATTGAGGGGAGTGGGGAGAGAGGGGGAGGGGTGAGGGGGAGGAAGGGGAATGTGGGGGGGAAGGTGGAACAGGCATGGGAGAGGGATCAGCGCGAGTGGGGGACGATGTGGGCCAAGGGGAGTGGGGGAAGGGGCGCGGGGGAGGGGGGAAGGCGCGCATTGGGGGATGGGGTGGCGGAAGTGGTGGCGGGGTTGGAGGAGAGGCGGCGGAGGATGGGGGGAGGGGAGGGGGAGGGGCGGAGAGGAGTCCGGGGAGAGGGGGAATGGGGGGCGGAAAGAGGGGAGAAGAGGAGAAAATGGGGGGGAGAGAGGGGAGAGGTGGATACGCGGAGAGGGGAGCGGGGGGAGCATGTGAGGGCGAGGAGTTGGGGCAGTGGGGCGGAACGGAGGGGCGGAAGCTATGAGGGGAGGGGGGACGTGAGCATGGGGGGAGATGTAAGAAGCGTGCCATGGTTGCGAGAGGGAGGCAGGGCGGATGGGGGAGTGTGGGACTTTAGGGATGGAGCAAGGGCAGCAGTGGCAGGAAAGGCAGCAAGGGCCGGACGGGAAGGAAGGGAGGGAAGGGAAGGCAGTGGGGTTTGGGCTGGTGGTGAGGTGGTGGAGAGAAGGGGACGAGGGCGCTTGGATAAGGGGGCGAGAAGCGAGGGGGGTGCGGTAGTGATGGACAGGGAGAGGAGGGGACAGCGAGGAGAGATGGGAGGGAGAGAGTCGAGAGAGGAGAGAGGGAAGATCGTGAAAGGGGGACAGGGTAAGGGTAGGAGAGGGGAGGAGGAAGAAGAGTGGGTGTGGGGCGGGGGGAAAGGGGGTGGGGAGGGGCAGGTGCTGCCGTGGGAAGGGGGCAGTGGGAACCTGCAGCGCAGTAGCAGCAGCCCTGCTAGGGGGATTGGAAATGGGAATGGGAGTGGAAGGGCGAGTGGGAGTGGGAGTGGGAGTGGGAGTGTGGGGGAGGAGGAGAGGGTGGTGGTGGTGGGAGCACCTAAGGGTGTGAGGGTGACTGTGGGGGCGGGAGGGTTCAGTGCTGCTGACTGGCTGGCTCAGGTGAGACGCACATGTTTTGCTCACAGCATGCACATGCACATGCACACACGCATGCACATGCACACGCACATGCACATGGCAACACCCACACCCACACCCACCACACGCCATGGCACCAAGAGGGCGAGAGACTGATGTAGGCGGGGAAAACGTACCCGTTTGCCCTGCTCACACAATCTTACACACAACCTTACTCCCCCACTCACCCCCCATCTCCCTCACCTCCGCACACAGTCTCTCATTCCGCTTCCTCACACACCCATTCCCCATCTCCAGTTCCTGCTCCTTCCTCCTTCTCCTTCCCTTTCCCCTCCCGCGCTGACCATTTCTCACCTCACAGGATGCCACCCCTCCTCCCTTCCTCCCTCCCTCTCTCTCTCCCCTTGCCGTCCCTCCCCCCCCCCCACCCCCCACTCCCACCCACCTTTCCAGGCGAACCAGAAGCAAACTCCTCCCGGCGCCGGGCCCCCATTCTCTCCTCTCCACACTCCCCCTGCTGCTGCCGCCCATCCATTGCTGAACAGCAACAGCAGCAGCAACAGCAGCAGTGCACCCAGCTCCTCTCCTACCACCACCACCTCCCCCACGCACCCGGGAATGTCCCCTGCTCTCCGCGCGCTCATCACTGGGCGTGCGGTTGGTGGTGGTGCTGCTGGGGGCATGGGGCTTGCTGGGACTGATGCTTTTGCTGGGCAGAGAGGGCTTAGCAGCGTTGCTGGTGGGGCGGGAGGTGAGAGGCGGGGTGGGGGAGAAGGGGAGCTGGGGGAATGGGGAGGCGGCGAGAGAGGGGGAGAGAGATGGGGAGAGAGAGGGGGAAAGGAGGGAGAGGGAGGAAGTGGGGGCGGGAGAGGGGGAGGGGGACAAGGAGGCAGAGGTAGGGGCACGGGGAATGGCACACGGCGCGGTGGCAGCTGGGGGAATGGCGTGAGGGGAAGAGCCATGGGCGGGTCAGCAGCAGGAGGGACTGTCCTGAGCAGGCAAGGAGGGCCGCTGGGGGGAACTGTTGCGTGGGGGAGTGGCTTTGAGAGGGAGGTTGGCGGGGTGCGAAGCATGGGGGGCCGAGCAGGGAGTGAGGTTGGAGGAAGAGCGGGTGCAGGGAGTGTGGCGGTGGGTGCTGGTGGTGGGGCGGCGGGGGTGGGCGGTGGGGCAGAGGATATGTGGGATAGACTGGAAAGCGAAATGAGTGCTAGCATCGAGGAGGGGGCATGGGAAGAGAAGGAAGGGGAGAAGGAGGTGCAGACAGGCACAGGACTGCAAGGCAACAGCAAGAGCAAGAGCAAGGGTAGTGCCATGCCTGCCATGCCAGCAGTGGTGAGCATGAGTACATCTGCCTCCTTCCAACCCATGACCCGCCCCGCCAACCCCTCCTCCCGGGCCACCAGCCCCAGAGGTGGCAGCAGCAGAATCAGCACAGTCAGCAGCAGCAGCGACAGTGGCACTACTGGCAACATCAGCAGCGGCAGTGCCCGTTGGACACGTGGGCCCATCTCCCCTCCTCTGGAAGCCCTCCTCTCCTCCTCCATCTCGCCCCGCTCCCCCTCCCAACCACCCCTGACAAACGCCCCCGCCTCCTCTGCTCCACCCCCGCTGCTGGTGCAGCGACCCACCAGCACAACCGCCTCTCCCCCGTTCACTCTCCCAGACAACCTCGACGGGCCAGCCGGCTCAGTCTTCCTGATCGACAAGCCCAAGACCTGGACGTCCTTCGACGTCTGCGGGCGCCTGCGCCACCTCCTGGGGATCAAAAAGGTGGCCACGCGGGGACTCTCGATCCCATGGCCACCGGCCTGCTCGTCGTGTGCGTCGGCCGCGCCACCAAACTCGCAGACTCCTATCAAGCCATGACCAAGGAATACACAGGCGTGATGAAGCTGGGAGAGGGTACCCCGTCGCTGGATGCGGACACAGAGGTGTGTGAGAGGAGCGAGTGGGAGGGGGTGACGGGGGAGAGGCTGAGGGAGGCGGCGGAGGGGTTTCTCGGGGAGTGCTGGCAGGTGCCACCGGCGTTTTCGGCGCTGAAGGTGGGGGGGGTGAGGGCGTATGCGATGGCAAGGAAAGGGCAGGAGGTGGAGCTGAAGGCCCGGCCGGTGACGATTGAGGAGTTTGATGTGTGGCGGGCGGGGGAGGGGGAGGGGGAGGGGCGTGTGGGAGAGGACGGCAGCAGTGACAGCGGCAGTGGCAATAGCGGCAGCAGCAGCAGCAGCAGCAAAAGCAGCAACCCTTTCTCGTCGAGCCAGTACGTGCACTTCCGAGTGGTGTGCTCCAAGGGCACCTACGTCCGCACTCTACTGGCCGACCTAGCGCAGGCCGTAGGCACGGTGGGGCACCTAGTGGCGCTGAGGAGGGAGAGGATCGGGGACTTGAATGTGCGGCGTGCTGTGAGTGTGGATGAGGTGGTGCAGGCATGGATTGAGAAGCACCCTGGGGAGGAGGTGCGCGGGGGGAGAGGGGAGGGTGGGGGGCGGGGCGGGAGTGGTGGGGGAGGGAGGAGGGGTGGGAGAGGGGGAGGGAGGAGGGGGAAGGGTGGGAGGGAAGGTGGGTTTGAGGGGAAGGAAGTGGAGTGAGTGGATGGGATGGAAGTTGAGTTGGAAGGATGTGGTTTGAAGGAGTGGTGAACGGTTATTGTAGTATGTGCTGTTTGTGGCGAACAAAGATGGTTAGAGGGATATCGTGGTGGTTGTGCAGACACGAGGCGCGTTATCAAGTGGCATGTGTGCTGAATGCTACCATACTATCAAAAGAAAAAATCGATTGACTACACGTAGAGTTTAAGAGGGAGTGCGACAGTGATGATGACGAGACGAGACATGAGGTCATCATGTGGTGATGAGAAGAGGACAGAACAATGTCCTCTTTTTTTAATATACTTTGGTATTATATAGGAATATCCGTTTTCGTGTATTATCAAAGCTCTGAATGGTAAGGAGCTATAATTCCAAGTACAACCCAAAGATCTCGCGTCAGTTGGTTCGGCCTGCATTTCCACCCCGAACCAGTTCCGAGTCGCCACCGCACCTTTCGCGACATTTCCGAGCCTCATTTACCCCGACGTTTTCGCCTAGCCTCGATTCTGCCTACTTGAGCTCGTTTAGCCTCGACATTCGTCCATTCAGTAGACATTCTTCCTACGTGGTATTCTTTAGGAAGAATACCTGCACTTCAGTCCTCTTCTGTCCTCAATCACAGCATTGGGGAGGGGAACATTTGGGCGACCATTCCCCTGCGGGTCGTACGGCTTGTGGCGCAGCACTTTAGAGCTCGATGCCGTGCGATGCGCAATTGCTTGTGCGGTCCTTCGCCGTTCACGTTACGCGTACAGCTTCGCCGAGCTCCGCCGCGTACCGTCGCACACCGTCGCGCACCGTCGCGCGATTCCACCCTTCCCCATTCGCCGCTCCTCGCACCGCCTCCTCGAGTCCTGTCCATGCCTCTCGAATCAGCACCAGCTTTTCAACACGGCTCAAAACTAGCGTTCGTGGTTCCTTGGTCACATTTTACAAGGCAACTCGCGTAGCCGCATTGCACGCAGGTCGTTTTCTCCAATCCTAAAAAGCGACTCGCCCCGTAGCCCCGCGGAAAGCAGCTCTCGTCAATCAGAGAGACTACCGTGGTGGTAGAATCGATTCTTAAAAGCGAGAATTTTTAAAAGCGACGGACTCAGAATCATTTGTAGCACCGCACCACGACGTCTCTTCGTCTCAATCTTCTCTTTGCATCGCACCTCTCACTGCTCTCCATCCGTCGTCACTTCCCCCCTCTTGCCCGCTGCTTGCAGTAGTTGTCGGCCCAGCCTGCTACCAACTGCAGTGCCAATTCTCGCTGCCAGACAGCGTTGTGAAGCCCACCCGAAACCCGACTGAAACCCACCTGAAGCCCACTTGACGTCTACCTCTTGCCTTGCCCTGACTCGTGCTGCCCTGTGCTGCCCTGGCACGAGGCAGGTGTGCAGTGCAGCGCCCCGGAGCGAGGGAAGCCATTGGATCCACTCGGGAAAGCAGCAGGTGTAGAGGCGACTCGACTCGCCATCGGATGGAGGTTGCAGTGAGGGCGCTCGGCGCGCAGCTGGCGGAGATGCGGAGGGAACTGGCGGAAACGCGGAGAGAACAGGCGGAGACGCGGAAAGAAATGGAGGAGTTGAGAGCGATGGAGCAGCGAGTGCGAATGGAGGTGGCACAGGCGCGGGAGGAGAGGCAAGCAGGAGCGAATGAGTGGCGGCACCAGCTGGCAGGAGTGAGCGCTGCAGTGGCGGAGAGGGAGAGAGAAACAGGGGAGATGGCTCGGGCTGTGAGTGCACTCCAGTGCAAGGTGCAGGGGGTGCAAGGATTTATGCGCAGCCGTGCAGGGAAAGGGGAGGTGGCGGCTGTGAGGAAGCGACTAGGGGGATTGAGGAAGGGCGTGATGGGCGCAGTGAGAAGAGAGGTGGCAGCAGCGGTGAGGGCGGAAGTGGCAGCAGCAATGGGGGAGAGAAGAGGAGCGAAGCAAGAGGTGCAAGGGGCGGTGCAGCGAGAAGAGCAGCTAGAGGAGCAGCGAGAGGAGCGGCGAGAGGAGTGTGAGAGTGAAAGCAAGTGTGGGAGTGAGTGTGAGCACAAGGGCCTTGTGGCGCAGCTGGTGCAGGAGAATGCGACCCTCATGTGCGAGAAGACTGTTGCCGAAGCAGAGCTGCGAGAGCTGCGAGCACAGTTAGAGGCGCTGAGAGCAAGTCAACAGAGAGAAGGGATGGGAATGGATATGGGGTTGCAGCCAGTACAGGGACAAGAGGAGGCAGGACGGGTTGAGACTCATGATTGCAAGGAGCTGGCAGGAGAAAGCACTGCAGTGGCAGCGAGGGAGGGAGAAGTAGGAGAGGTGGGTCGGGCTATCAGTGCGCTCCAGGCTACGGTGCAAGGGGGTATGCAGAGCGGTTATGTAGGGGATGTGGCGTCAAAAGTGAGGCTGGCAGGGGCATGGAAGGACGTGTTAGAAGCAGTGAAAAAGGAGGTGACAGAAGTGGTGTTGGCTGTGGTGACGGGGGACGAAGACGACGGGGCACGAGTGCTGACACCGATGCAGAAATTGAGGGTGAGAATGCTGAGGCCGCACTCGGAGCGAGAGTTCCGGAGAGCGATGGGGCAGAGAATGTTGCGGGCGATGTGTGATTGCGAGAACAAGGGGTGTGTGGCGCACCTGGTTCAGGAGAGCTCAGAGCCTGAGTATCTGAAAAAGGCAAATGATGCATCAGCAGAGGTGAAAGAGCTAAAAGAGGCTTTGGGTGCTGCGCTGCGGAGGAATGATGAGATGGGCGCTATGGTGGAGGAGAGGGCGAAGGAGCTGGCTCAAGTGAAGGGGGAGCTGAATAGGGTGTTGGCTGAATGGCAGAGACAATTGACTGAAGCTCCAAGAGAGCTGGACGTTGACAAGGAAATCAGGGAGAGCACGGGGGATCGACGGGAGATATGGCAGGTGAGCGTGAATGTCTTCCCTGTACTTCCCTTGTTAAAAGAAATACAAAAAAAAAAAGGTAAATTGTGTGTGCAAATCAGCTGTTTATTGTGTCTACTTGCTCCTACTCGTGTTGTTTCTACCCTCCCTCCGCACCAGGCTATCCAAACAGCCTCGCAAGGAAAAAAGCTGTATCTGAATTTGAGCAGATTATCGTGCCTGTCCGACGCAATGCTGGGCCATGTTTCCACCATGACCCACCTGGAGTACCTTCACCTGGATGAATCTTCAGGGTTCAGTGCACTGGGTATGAGACAGGTCTACTCCCTGCGAGGGTTGGTGGAACTGTTTGTGCGAGGGGCAGCTGTCACGGACGAGGCACTAGAAGGCATCAATGTGTTGAAGAACTTGGAACGGCTCTTCCTAAGCGAAACTGATGTGAGCGATGAGGGCCTGCGGCATCTCCCAGGCCTAACATCACTGCGGGAACTATTTCTTTCTGAGTGCTGGCGCGTCACGTCTGCAGGCATGGTGCATGTGGGGAAGCTGAAGAGTGTTCGGATGCTGGGGTTGAGAGATACGGGCGTGAAAGATGATGGGTTGCGGCACTTGGCTTCGTTGACTCGGCTGGAAATACTTGATCCACCGGAAGGAAATTGCATTAGCAGCCAGGAGCAGCTTCGCAGACTTTTAGGCAGTGACCAAGGGAGGGAATAGGTAAGAGGTAAGATGGATGGTGAAAGTCGGGGTTGAGGCGTAAAGTTAGTAATATGTGAAGGGGGATGGCTGAAGGCTGAGGGGGGCCTGAGTGGGGTGATGGCTGAGGAGCAGAGAGAAGTTACTGAAGCTAGCAGAGAGATGGACGTTGAAAAGGAACTCTGTAGAGCACAGGGGATCAAAGAAAGATATGGCAGGTGAGTGTGAATGTCTTCCTTGTTTTTTCCTTCCAAGGAAAAAACAAAAAGGGAAAAGAAAAAGAGCAATGTTCGCACTTCACCTTGTTCACTTGCTTCTACCCGTGTTGTCCCTACCCGCCCTCCGCCCTAGGCTATCCAATCCAGCATCACAAGGAAAAGACCTGTACCTGGGTCTGAACAGATTCTCATGCTGGGTCTGTACCTGTACAATGCCAGGCCACGTGTCCACCATGACCCACCTGGAATGCCTTCATCTGGGTGACTGCACGGGGTTCAGTGCAGAGGGTGTATAAGGCAGCTCTGCCGCCTGCTAGGGTTAGCAGAACTATTTGTTCAAACAGCGCCCGTATGAGACGAGGCACTGGAAGGCCTCGGCGCGTTGAAGTACCACTTGGAACGCCTCTTTCTCAGCGAAACCAATGTGAGCGATGAGGGCCTGCGGCATCTCACTGGTCTTTTGTCACTGCGGGATCTGAATCTTTCTGAGTGCTGGCGCGTCACCTATGCTGGCATGGTTCATGTGATGAAGCTGACGAGCCTGCGGAGGCTCGGGTTGAGAGATAATAGCGTGAAGGCGGGTTGCGGCACTTGACTTCGTTGACTCACATGGAAGTGCTTGATCCACCCGAAGGATTTACCAGCAGATGGCTATGTGTTGATTAGTGAGGAGAATGGATTGTGAATAGAGGTGTAAGGGGAGGGGGGGGCATAGTTTGAGGATGGGGTTGTTCGGGATGTAGAGGTTGTGGTGAAATATAAAGCCCTCGTATAGGTTATTGGCAACCCTGATCCACACACACACACACTCACATACACATGTGTCAAGAATGAGAGTGTTGTGTTATTGATGAGGGTTGGGGTACATATAACAAACCCTAACATTTGTACCCCCTTAGACAAACCTCACTATAGGCTACAACAATTGACACACCCCCATAGCCTAAGTGAGGGGTGTCAAGCGAAACCAAAAGTGTACGGTCACAAGACCAGTCACAAAGAAACAAAGCTCAGGGTGGATCACAACGTCACCACACAATCTGAGCACAAGCAACAGGGGCCACAAGGCCAGTCCAAGGGCTCACAAAGGTGTATGGCAAGAGTACAAGCAAAGCAAACAGTAAAATCAAGCCTACACACGACTAGAACCTGTGTCAACAAGACCTAACTGCACACAACACCTCTGGTGGTCACAAGGCGGAAGCGCCTTGGTGAAGATGTCTGCAATCTTGTCCTCGGACTCCACAAACTCGAAGCGAGCCTGTCCACGTCTCTGCAACTCACGCAGAAGAAAGTATCTGACGTTAATGTGCTTCACTCTGCTCTCCAGATGCGGCTCTCGACAAAGGAGAATCGACGCCTTGTTGTCAGTGAACAAGGTCAGTGCAGAGCTCGGCCGCTCACCAAGGTCGGCGAGCAAGAAGGTCAACCAACGCAGCTCCTGTGCCGCCATGGCACCAGCGTAGATCTCAGCCTCAGCAGTAGAGGTCGAGACCGAAGAGGAGCGCGTGGACCTCCACGAAACAGCTCCAGAACCCAAGCTGAAACAGTAGCCCCTGAATAGACTTGTGAGTCTCAGCGTCGTCAGCGTAAGAATAGTCACAGTGACCAGTGAGTACGACAGACTGCTGCCCTCCAAGAACTAGCCCCACGCCTGATGTCGTCGCTAGGTACTTCGCCACCCTCACAGCTGCCGTCCAGTGAACAGGACGGTGTCTCTCTGGCGCAACAAAGCGAGCAAGGATGCTGAGAGGGAAGGCGAGGTCCGGGCGAGTACAAGTCATCAGGTACATGAGGCAGCCCACCAGCTCTGCGTAGGGACCACTAGACTCAAACGGCTCGTCAGAAAAGGGTCCAGTAAGTCTGTGGTCAACAGCAAGAGGTGTGCGCTGTACTGTGGAGTGCTGAAGCTCGAACCGCTGAAGAACCTGCTGCACCATGTGTGACTGTGAGAGTGTAATGGTGCGAGCAGCTCTGTCCCTGGTGATCTGCAGGACAAGGTAGTGGCGCAGCTCACCAAGGTCAGTGCACGTGTGTCTCTTCTGCAGTTCGGACTTAACGTCTGCCAAGGCAACCCTGTCAGCAGTGGCGAAAGCCAAATCGTCGACGTAGACCAGAACAAAGAAAGGTGTGGAGCCACGACGGACGAACAGCGACGGGTCGGCAGAAGACGGCTGGAAACCAAGGTCAGAGAGGGTAGAACGAAGGGTGTCGTGCCTCTCAAGAGGAGCCTGACGGAGACCGTAGACAGGTTGCCTCAGCCTCCACTAGGTCCCAGGAGGGAAAGTGCCAGTGAAGGCAGAGGGACGACGCAGCCAGACCTCCTCGTGTAGGCTACCCTGAAGGAAAGCAGTGGAGAAGTCGAGAGAGTGTAACTCGTAGTCTCTCTGTGCTGCTACGTGTAGTAACACCCGAAGAGTGGTCATCTTCGAGGTAGGCGCGAAGGTCTGAAAGAAGTCAACTCCCTCGCGTTGACTAAAACCTCTAGCCACATAGCGCGCCTTGAAGACCGGAGGAGATCCCGGTGGCCGCTTCACCCTGTAGATCCACATGCCATCGACTATGTTCGCCCCAGGGGGGGGGAACCTCGTCGACGTAGGTGCCTGTGGATCTGTAGGAGGCCATCTCTGCGTCCATGGCAGCTCTCCACTGAGAGGCCCAAGGCCCTGACACTGCCTCAGCGTAAGTGCGAGGAGTCGGTATCTCAAGGGCGTCGGGGTCTCCCTCAGGGGCGAGCAGCATGGCACAGAGATGAGGGGAAGCGGCTGCCAGGAACTCCAGCTCAAACTGCCTGTCCTCTAGGGCGTCACAGCCAAGGGTAGAGTCACCCCCGATGGCCAGAGGACTGGTAGGAGGAGCAGCCACGAGACAAGTGGCGTGGTCAAGGCGGCGAGTAGTGGCGAACTCGGTGACGGCGACAGTAAGGGCGGAGACAGAGGACAGAGAGGCACGAGGGTCCGTAACATGAGAGGCGAGAACACGAGGGAGAACAGGACGGTACGTGCGGTAGTAGTCAGTGACAGGAGTAGAGAGGGAAGTAGTGAAGGCTGACTCAGGAGGAGAAGGAAGCACAGACTGAGACGAACAAGGCGGACTAGAACGGAATAGGGCAGTACGAAGGTCAGTGAGAGCGACAGGGGACGAGGGACGAGCACGAGGAGAGCGACAAGAGGGCTAGGCGGGCAAAGGAGGAGGAGACAACAGAGTCGGAGAACGAGGGAGAATAGCTGGGGAGAAGTCAGGAGGAGGAAACGTGGGACCGTAGACAGGAGGAGAGGGGGAGAAGGAAGGAGAGGGAGAGGGGAAACCGAGGGTCCGAAGACCAGAGATAGGAGGAGGAGATGGCGGCTGCTGCTGCTCCTGGTGCGGCTGCGACCTCTGCTCCTCCAGCGGCGGCTGCTCCAGCTGCGACTGCTGCTGCTGCTCCCGCGGCTGCTGCTGCTCCTCCAGCCTCTGCTGCTGCTCCTCCAGCCTCTGCTGTTGTTGCTGCTGCTCCACCTCCAGCCGCTGCAACTCTCTCTCCTCTCTCTCTAACTCCAGCTGCTCCTCACGGGCATGGCGAACACGAGCCTGGTGCTGAGTCGGTTAGGGGTGGGGGGGAGGAGTAGTGTTCGGGGCCGCGGCAGCCCCAGGACCACCCTCCAAAGCACCCGGCGCACCACCCTCAGAGGCAGTACCACCAACAGCAACACGGCCAGGCTCACAAGGACCCGAAGGGGGCGCACTCGCACCCCCAGACGTAGCACCCCCAGAGTCAGCACCACCGACACCAGCTCCCGGAAGACGAGAGTCTCCTGCAGCCTCGGACTCAGCCCCAACTCCAGCACCCCCAGAGCTAGTACCGACAGGGTCCTCGCCACGAACACTGGCTCCTGCAGGGTCTGCCGCAGGTTGCGAGGAGGACTGCGGGGAAGGAGGCTGTACCTGAGGGACTACCGAGGGGGGAGGGGTAGCCTGGGACACACCTGACGGGGCTGGACCAGGGGGGGGAGGCTGTACCGGGGGAGCAGGAGGGGGAGCGGAAGTCAGGAAGAGAGGGGGAGGAGGAACCGGGAGACCTCGGCAGGGGTACCTGACGTAGTAGGGGACGGACTCGTCGAAACTGACGTCACGGGAGTCAAAGAACCGGTGAAGGGGAGGGTGGTAAAAGGTGAAGTCTGAGGAGTCCTCTGGGAAACCAAGGAAGACAGACGGAACGGCGCGAGGCGAGATCTTGTCCGAGGAGGTGTCGCGAACAAGAGCCAAGCAACCCAAGACACGAAACCGCGACGCAACACCAGGGGACCCAGTCCAAAGACTCGTCGGTGAAATCTCTGGCCGAGAGACACGTGGCCAGAGGTTCAGCTGGTGAGCGGCGTACCTAACCGCGTAGGGCCACAGAAAATGGGGGGCACGGGCGTGAGTCAAGGAGGTGCGGGCGATCTCCATGACCAAGCCTATGCGGCGCTCAGCAACCCCATTCTGCTGTGGGGACTCTGGAAGCGTCCAGGACTGACGAATGCCCTACTCACGACAGAATCCAGCGAGAATGCCGGAGCGAAACTCACCCCCACGGTCGGAGTGAAGACAGTTGCCTCGACGACTACGAGTGCCCTCAGTGGTAAGCAACCACCTGATCAGCGTAGAAGTCACCTCAGACTTCTTCGCAAGGGGGGACATTGTGGTGTAGCGGGAGTAGTCGTCAACGACCACCAGAAAGAACCGCTCACGCTCAAGGCCAAGGCGAGAGGCGGGGCCCCAGACGTTCAAGTGGAACGTCTCAAAAGGCTCGGTGGCCAGACGAAGGGAGGAGTGAGGGGTGGCGCGCAGCCGACCCTCGACGCAGGGACCGCACGGTGGTGCAAGCGAAGGCGGCAGCGACGGGAAGACATGTGGGAGGCCTAAGACAAGACGCTGACGAGACATAGTGCGCAGACAAGGGAGAGACGGGTGCCCCATCCAGTGGTGCCACAGAACGGTGGGGTGGGCAAGTGACCGGCAGGAGCATGACGCAGCAACTGGAAAAGACATGGGAACCTTACCAGACACAGCTACCTGGGGGGACGCAGCAACCTGGTGAGACGCAGGGACCAGACTGGGAGAAGGAACAGGGGCCGGGGGCAGTAGTCGCTGCTGCTGCTGCTGCTGCCCACCAGAGCCAGTGTGAAGTGTGTAGAGACCAGAGCCCGGCTCAGCTGTAAAGGTGGCAAGAGGCGTGTAAGTGTCACCGTCAACACAAACCGCCGTCTCACCAGAGGGCTCAATCCACACACCCACATGCTGACTCACAAGAGGCCTCACGCCCACCAAGTTCTGCGAGAACGAGGGGACGTGGAAGCCAGTCAGAGACCCAGAGGGAACAGCAGGGCACGGAAGAGTAGTAGTGTAGCGAGAAGTGACTGGTCCCGAGGTGGGATCAGCCAGAGCCACAGAGACCGGTGCCGGAAGCGGAGTAAGTGTCGTGTGGTCGCGGAAGAAGCAGTGCGAAGCCCTAGAGTCCAAAGTGAAAGACAGCGAAGTGTCCTCCGAAGTAGCTCCTGGACTAGTGTCTACACAAGTGCCTACACTAGCAACAGGCAACTCATCAAGACTAGCACCTAAGCTAACAACACTCGAGTAAACAGAGTCAGAAGCACTAGAGTCAACCAACTGAGAAGCTGACATGCCCCAAAGAGCGGAGCCGTACGTCTGAACAAGAGGAAACCAGTCAGGGGCATGGCCGCCAACGCCAAAGGCCAAGCGAACTGTGTCAGTGCGCTGAGAAAAACACTGACCAGGAGGGTGGGCGCGGCCACAAGGCTTCGGCGAGCACCTGTCAAAAGCTTATAGGTGCACGAAGGGTGAACAACACCTCGTTGGGGCTGGCGCTGTCCTGGCCCCGAAACCTGCTGCTGCCGCGAGGGCTGCTGCGAGGGGAGGGGCTGCTGCTGCTGCAGCTGCTGCTGCCGCTGGGCCAGGTACCACGCCGCTGCTCCACTCGCCGCGGCCGGTAGACCAGAAGGTGGCGGACGAGCCCGGGTGTCGCCTCCACCAGCTGCAGTAGGGGAGTCACTGGCCGCTGCACGAGACGCCTCTCCAGGCCCTGCGCTCCCTCCGCCACCAGTCGGCACGCCACCCCAGCCACCTCCGCCACCAACGCCTCTACCTCCGCCGCCGCCTGTACCCTGACCGCCCCTCTTGCCACCTCTACCTCAAGACCGCGAAGAAGTCGTAACAGCAGCTGCGGTCACGTCAGTAGCAGCAGTGGCGAGCGATGTTATAAAGGTGGGCAGCTGAGGGACAGTGCACCCGTGGAACAGTGGAGGGGGCACAACACCAGATGCGGAGGCTACGGAGCGGAGGTTGCTCTTGACGTCCTTGAGCGCAGACTCAAGGACCTCGATAGTGAGCTCACTAGGGTGCTTCAGGAGAAGCGTGTCACGGACCGAGGCAAGGCGGTCAGGGAGGCTAGTAGCGATGAAATAGATAGTAATCGCCATGGGGTGAGGAAGCAGTGCAAGCTGTGCCTCAGTGCACGCGGTAGCTAGAATCAAGCGAGCGGAGGTGAGCAATCAAGTCAGCAGAGAAACGAGGCGAGGTCAGGGAACAGGAACGGTAGGAAGAGTCGGCCAAGAGAGACAGTGGTGGGAGTAGCGTAGCGGGCCTTAATCGCGGTCAGGAACTCACTAGTAGTGCGAACCTGAGTGAAGTGGGCCTCCTCAGACTCAGGGAGGAGGCTGCTAAGAGCGATGCAAGCCGCAGCGTCACGCGACTTCCACGCTGTCAGGTCAGCACGCTGGCGGGTAAAGCGGTCCATGGCTGCAAAACGCGGGCGCAACGGGGCTAGGGGCAGTCCCGCGGCGGACCGAACGAGTAGGCGCAGCGGTGCGAAGGAAGGGCCTAACGAGCGGGCCGACAGCGGACTTAACGAGGAGGCGCGGCGGCTGGCTGAACTAGCAGGCGCGGCGGCTGTAAAGGAGGGCCCACGGCGGCTGTAAGGGAGGACCCGCGGCGTGCCTAACGAGCAGGCGCGGCGGCGGGCGGTACGGGCAGGCGCGGCGGCGGGCGGTACGGGCAGGCGCGGCGGTTGTAAGGGAGGGTCCGCGGCGGGCCTAAAGAGCCGGCGCTGCGAGAGGCTAGGGCGGGGCCCGCGACGGGCGCGAAAGGCAGGCTCTGCGGGCGGCTAGGGCGGGCCCGCGGCGGGCTGAACAGCAGGCGCGGCGAGAGGCTAGGGCGGGCCCCGCGACGGGCGCGAAAGGCAGGCGCTGCGGGCGGCTAGGGCGGGCCCGCGGCGGGCTGAACGGCAGGCGCGGCGAGAGGCTAGGGCGGGGCCCGCGACGGGCGCGAAAGGCAGGGCCCTCGACGGGCCTAACGAACAGGCGCGGCGGCAGCCTAACGGGCAGGCGCGGCGGCGGCCTAACGGGCATACGTGGCAGCGCGAAGACAGGGCCCGCGGTGGGCGTAATGAGCAGACGCGGCGGCGCGAAGGCAGGGACCTCGACGGGCCTAACGGGCAGGCGCGGCGGCAGCCTAACGGGCAGGCACGGCGGCGACCTAACGGGCAGGCGCGGCGGCGCGAAGACAGGGCCCGCGGTGGGCGTAACGGGCAAGCGCGGCGGCGCGAAGGCAGGGCCTGCGGCGGGCCTAACGGGCAGGCACGGTGGCAGCCTAACGGGCACGCGAGACGGGCGGGCGCTAACGGGCGCTAACAGGCGGGCGCAGGGGGAACGCGCGCGACGGAACGGGCTCGGGACGGGAAGGGTCACGGAACGGGAGAGTGTCGACAGCTACGGCGGGGTACGCGACAAAACGGGTGAGGCGCGTCAGGCTTGCGCGGGAGGAACGGGATCCTACAGGATCATAACCTAGGTGATACCATGTCAAAAATGAAAGTGTTGTGTTATTGATGAGGGTTGGGGTACATATAACAAATTCTAACATTTGTACCCCCTTAGACAAACCTCACTACAGGCTACAACATTTGACAACACGCATGCACGAGATTTGAGCCAAGGCAGCATAATGTAATGTGTTTTATCAATGTTGTCTCTATATGGTTCACGATGCTTCACGGCATGAATTACTGTAAAATGATGGAAAAAAAAAAGAACTCATTTCTATACATATGACCTCAACGTATAGAACAATTTACAAGGCCGGACGTTCTTCGTCTGTTACCGGTTCATGCTAAATGCCACCCTACAAGCTACATTCACTTTGCCAGTACAGGGCCGAGTCGGCCAATGCCTTCGAGAAAACCCAAAGATAGCTGCCAGCTCTGTAAATGCCATCTTTGAGCTATTTAGTGTTTGCTTGTGCCATCACTCACACTACCTTCGTATATATTCTAAAAAGTCCTGACAAGAACCTAACAACGGAATAGCGCAAATTGGAGCATTCCGAACCAACCTGCCCAAACGGCGTGACTCGGGAAGTCGAGGCTATCATAGTGGGTGCCGTCAGTACTTAGTCCCTTCAGTTCCACCGAACCAAACACAGGTTGTACAAGTGTTCTCGTTTATAGTCCGACGGATCAACATCGCCGCGCGCGGACTATGTGGCAAACCCTTCAAACCCCAGGCAAAACGCGATACTTATAGTCCCTTTCAGGAAAATTGCATGAAGAGAGGTTGTTTTGCTACTAGATTCTGGAGTATGGCATTTACATAGATTTGGACCGCGCCTGCTTCAACTTCTAGTCGCACGGTTTTCCACGATGATCAATGTCGCATGACTAACGGTCAAAACTAAACAAAATCAACTATGGTTTGGGGGTCGAATAGTAACCCAAAAACTTCGTTTCTACCATGTAAGCGAGATAAATGAGATGTCATCGTCGATCGCGCTGGAGACAGCGCGACAGGATTGAGAATTAGTTGCGGTCAAGAGAAACAATTAATTACAAATAAAAAGTTCAAATATCGAATCGATTATCCTTTTTCATCGTTTTCTTTGAATGTTGGGCTGGTTTGATCTGGAGCCTCTGATTGGCTGCGGAGCTGATTCGTGCAATGATTCGGTCAAGCTGCAAAATTTCCCGCCAAAAACGGGACTATAGGGGTCGGGCCAACCCTAGGCGATATCGGAAAATTCTACTCAGGGGGGAAAAGGGACTCTCTCAACGACGGCCTCTAAGCAGGAACATCTGTACAGTGAACAAAACTCTCTGATGAGCACAACAACCAGCCGTTGCACCTGACCGGTAATCTGTGCTGCTGCGCTGCGCACTGCTTCTCTGCTGTTTGCAGGGTGAAACAAGTTGCCGTGGAGAACCGAGAGAACTTTTCTGGCAAGTGGTAATTGAGCTTGGATAAGTTACTGTAGTCGTATCATGCGTTTCTCCAGACTTGTCGCCTCATCCCCTGCGGTCCGTAATCTCGTCATTGTACGCCTGCGGTTCCAGATCCTAATTGCCAACCAGATCAGCAGGGAGTTCCCCGATCATTTATACGCTACTGCATTCAACATTATCTCACCAACGAGTTATCCACCTCCCATCAGCAAAACTCACATATCTCGATTCAACACTAACCGCAACGTTTCCCTAGGCATTAATCCATTGTCACTATGGCTAGACACGCGCTTCTGGCGCTCTCGTTAGCGCTGCTGGTCGTCGCCGCGCGCGCCGGCAGTCCCATCACGAGCAGCACCGCGAACGAGAAGCCCGACCAGAGCAGCAAGAAGGACGACGGGCTGATGACGGAAATCCCCGCGGACATCGCGAAGCAGGCAGCGGCGGGCAACGCGGCGGGAGTGACGTACGTAGACACGGCGCAGGACACATTCTTCATGGCGGACGTGAAGAAGGCCGGGTGGAACGCGCAGAAGTGCCCGCCCGGTTTGAACAAGGAGCTCGCGGGCGCGTGCACGCCTAAGAACTGCTCCAAGGGCGGCATCGCCGCCAAGTGGAAAACCGCTTACCTGCAGAAGAACAAGCTCGGTTACGAGCTGTACGTGCCGGGTAACCCGCTCACGCTGCTCAAGGCGAACCCCGCGTCGTGCTGCAACACGTGCGCCGCGACGCCGGCGTGCACGTACTGGCAGTACATTCCCGACATCACGATCGACGGCAAGAAGGGCAAGGGCGCGTGCTACCTGATTCACGACCAGATCGACTTCACGTGTGGAGAGATGACCGCGCAGTACAACACGGAGACGAAGCCCGTGCCGCTGCAGGTGCGCATCGGCGGCGAGTGCAACCCTAGCGCCAAGATTCTCAACGACCCGCATCTGGTGGGCGCGCACGGCACGCACTTCGACTTCAACGGCCGCCCCGACAAGGCGTTCTGCCTGCTGACGGACCGCGACCTGCACGTGAACATGCTGCTGCGCGGGTACTACGACGCGCGCACCGACAACGCGGCGCTCGTGGTGGACGGCAAGGCCGTGCACACGTGGATCAAGGAGCTTGGTATCGTGTGGACCGCGGCCGGCGCGGATCACAAAATCCGCCTCGCGGCGCGCAGCGGCAAGCAGCAGGAGCGCGGAGAGGGGTTCATGAAGTCGATCGAGATCGACGGCGAGGAGATTCCGCGCATGCAGGTGGGCGATACGGTGACGAGCGCGGGCGGGCTGACGGTCCAGTTCCGCGCGGAGGAGAAGGAGGGACCATTCGACGTGGACTACTATCTGCTCACCATCGACGGACTCGTCTCCCTCGACCTCCGCCTTCGCGTCGCACACCCCAAGCTGCAGACGCCGACCGAGGCCGAGGCGCATATCAACGTGGGCATTGCGGAGCTCGAGCACACGGACGAGATTCACGGCGTGCTCGGACAAACGTACCGCGCGGATCACTCGCAGCGCGCCGAGGATTTCCAGCGCCTGATCGCAAGCCTGCACCGCCCGATCTCCGCAGATGGCGCGGAAGGCAAGGGGTTCCTGGATGGCACGCCGCGGTCGTACGAGGCGAGCGACGTGCTCGCGGTGGACTGCGCATACACCGCATATGGCCGCGCCAGGCAAGCAATGCCGGTACAGCAGCTTCCGTAAGAGCTGATTCGATTTGGAGACACTCAATTTGTATTGTACAGTGGACTGAAAGTAGGCTGAATGCTAGATTAGATTGCCTCTTGTTGATTTTTTGAATTCTTTTATACCTTATCATGCGGTATTCATGATTTGTTGTGGCATCTGCAGTGAATTGCATCATATAGGGTATAACACATTCCTGATTGTACCCCACTATTGTTAGTGAAACTCATTTCGCTGTTGGCCCTGTTCGATAGCACTTTGGGCCCCCACGACGCAACCATTTGGTTTGGCTCTGTCGCCCAAATGGTTCAGCGTCGCGACAAAATGCAAGTGGTAGGACAGCGCCGACAGTGTAATCTTTTTGGCCGACCCGAAGACGGCCGAGGTGGTCGAAAAGCTCCACCTCAACGGCCCTTTGAAGCGGACTTTTTCCAGCCGCGGGGTCTGCCCGGGGGTTCGACGGTCTGCGTAAAAACAAAAGCCCCACCCAAATGTTTGTGCTGAAAATGTATAGAGTATTCCAGATCGGTTCCAGCCAGGGCTGACTATTCAAAAAAATACAGTCTGATGTTCTGGGGGCTCTGAAATTTTTTAGTCTGAGGCATATTTCCCAGAGAATGGCTACTCTGATTTTTCAGGTTCCGCAAAAACACAAGTCTGAAGTACTCAGAACACACTACAACCACTGCAGTACAGTACTGCCACGAATGTAGCACGTGGGGCGCAGCGCTAACCGACTTTGCTGCGCCAGCACAGAGTTTCCCTCGCTGACACCGGGTAGCTGCAGTGATGGTCCCTCGTGAGTGAAAGAGCGAGCCAAGTTGGCAGATTTCTAAAGGAAAATGGTGGCAAAAGTAGCCAAGGACAGATTCTGCGCGTGACAGCGCCATGAAGTGTGTTCGTACACTGGCAACATATGACGTACGGTAGCGGAATGTACGTAGAAATTACAGATCCACATTTCAGGATCCGTACTCCCTGTAGTATGAAGACCCATTATCGGTTAAGTCAGTAGTCTGAAAATCTCAGGATCCAAAACCAGGTAAGTCTGAGGTACTCATGTTTGAAAATCTTACAAGTCTGAAAAATCAGGATCCGTAGGAAAATACCCTGAGATTTCAGACAATCAGACTATTTTAGTATGATAAAGTCAGCCCTGGTTCCAGCATTAGTTAGTGTGTCGAAAGGATTTGTGGTGCGACTGGTTTATACCTTTTGTTTGGCGCGACTATCCCTAAATAGCCCATTGGTCTGGCATTGGGGCCACTCATTTGAAAAGTAACATTGGCAATGGTCTGAAATTTTACCAGGGATGGGCTGTAATGATTAGGCAACAGTCACTGTTACTGCGCGCTGTGGTGTCAAACCACCCCGTTAAAATTCCCGCCATGTTTTAGCAGCTGGGCGGGAAACCAAGGACATCGCAGGAGGGTCGTTCGCGCTGGCGGGAATTATGTACCATCGCATAGGGTCGCAAACCGTTTCCCGCCCGAGGAACAAGGTCACCTCAATGATTTCTGGCATGGGTCACCCTCGCTATCGAACAGGGCCAACGGCGAGATACAGAGTTGGTTAGCCTAGTCAAGTCGACAAAGTTCCTCCTGCCAGCCGCCTGTCAACCAGCCATTTGGGAGTTGAACGCGTCCCATGTAGGAAACAACGCACGCGGCACGCCTCTGCTAGGAAGCATAACGGCCCTGTTCTGTTGGCGCACAGGCCATTCGCAGCTGCCGCACAGGTACTGCGGACATCGTTTTCCTCGAAAGGAAGAGAGGGCCTGCAGCCTCGTCGAAGGCTTTGCTAATCGACAACATTACGAACTTTTTTCTCGCGTGTGCCCGAAAAAATGTTGTTACACACTGCCCTGGCACTCTTCCGAAGTCAAATTTTCGCGAACCGATGCACTGGATGTGGCAGTCTTACTGGTTAGCTGGTGGATTGTTTTTGGGATGAGTATTCTGTCAAACTTATATGCTATAGTCTGTGTAGGCTGTAGTGGGGTAGACTATATGGGGTACAACATTTCTAGGTTTTCCTACTTGTACCCACCTGATTGCTAGTTCATTCATTCCTCATTCTTCACATGGTATAGAGCAGGTTCCCTCGTGGGAACGCTTCTCAGGGCCCACCACCTAACTCGATCTTTTTTTTCCTGCCCGAGGCGTGCCCCGTAGGTCGCCCTCACGTCGCGCCCTCCTAGAGGCCCCTCGCGCCACCCTTAGCGGCCTCGTCGCCGTCCTTAGCGACCCCGTCGCCGCCCCTCTCGGCCCCTCGCGGCCCCTTCACGGCCCCGTCGCCGCCTCTCTAGGCCCCGTCGCTGCCCCTCTAGGCCCCTCGCGGCCCCTTCACGGCCCCGTCGCCGCCGCTCTAGGTCCCGTCGCCGCCGCTCTAGGCCCCGTCGCCGCCGCTCTAGGCCCCTCGCGGCCCCTTCACGGCCCCGTCGCCGCCGCTCTAGGCCCCGTCGCCGCCCCTATAGGCCCCTCGCGGCCCCTTCACGGCCCCGTCGCCGCCCCTAGCGGCCCCCTCGCCGCCCCTCTAGGCCCCTCGCGGCCCCTTCGCGGCCCCGTCGCCGCCACTTGCGGCCCCGTCGCCGCCCCCTCTAGGCCCCTTACGGCCCCTTCGCGGCCTCGTCGCCGCCCCTCTAGGCCCCTTGCGGCCCCTCTGCGGCCCCGTCGCCGCCCCTAGCGGCCCCGTCGCCGCCCCTGGAGGCCCCGTCGCCGCCCTTCGCGGCCACCTCGCCGCCCTTAGCGGCCCCGTCGCCACCCCTAGCGGCCCCATCGCCGCCTCTACCGGCCCCGTCGCCGCCTCTACCGGCCCCGTCGCCGCCTCTACCGGCCCCTTCACCGCTGAGCCGCCCAGCAGCTGAGCAGCCGAACCACCCAGCAGCCGAGCCACCCAACAGCCGAGCCGCCGAGCCGCCGAGCCGCCCAGCAGCCGAGCGGCCCAGCCGCCGAGCCGCCCAGCAGCCGAGCCGCCCAACACCCGAGCCGCCGAGCCGCCCAGCAGCCGAGCCGCCGAGCCGCCCAGCAACCGAGCCGCCGAGCCGCCCAGCAGCCGAGCCGCCGAGCCGCCCTGCCGTCGAGCCGCTACTGTTCCTACCGGCGCGCCCCGGCCCTACTTCCTCGGACTGGTGAGATCACTCCCTGCTAGGCCACTGCAGTCATGGCTACCCCCAGTGTCCTTACCTTTGATGCTGAGGGTCGTGCTGTTGACTTTGAGGTCTGGGTCGATGACCTCCAGCTGTTCCTACAGTGCGATAGGACAGACGGACTCTCCTTGTTCGATCTCACCTCTGGTGCCTCTCCTGCCCCACCTGCTACTGCTGACAGCACTGTTCGCTCACAGTGGGCCACACGCGATGCTGCTGCCCGTCTTGCTGTGCGTCGCCACTTACCGACCACTGAGCGTGCGCACTTTAGCCAGTACAAGAGTGCTAAGACCTTGTACGACGCTGTAGTTGCACGCTACTCCTCCCCAGCCACTGCTGCGCTTAGCCGCCTCATGCTGCCGTACCTGTTCCCTGACCTTGCTGCCTTTCCCACAGTCGCTGACCTCATTACGCACCTTCGCACTAGTGACACTCGCTACCGCGCTGCGCTTCCTGCTGAGTTCTGTGCCAAGAACCCCCCCCCCCCCATGTACATCACCCTCTACTACATAGTCACCCGGCTCCCTGACTCCCTTCGCTTAGTCAGGGACCACTTCCTCTCAGTTTGCCCCACCACACTCACCGTTGACCTCCTCGAGGAGCGCCTCCTAGCAGCAGAGAAGAGCATAGTCGCTGTAGGAGCCTCTCGTGGTGACCCTCGCACCCCAGTCTTTGAGGGGTGTTCCCCCTCCCCCCTCTTGCCCTCTGTTGCTTCTGCTGCTGCGGCCGACCTCGTTGGTTTCGAGTCGGTCGGCGCTGCGTCTGCCCCTAGCGGGAGACGCCGCACCGGCAAGGGCAAGGGGGGCAAGGGCCCTGGAGGGGCTGGCGGGGGCGGTGGAGGTGGTGGTGGAGGCAGTGGAGGGGGTGGGGGTGGTGGTGGGAGTGGTGGCGGGGGTGGAGGTGTCGGTGGCAGCAGTGGAGGCGGAGGAGGCGGCGGCGGTGGCGGGGGGAGCGGAGGCGGCGGAGGTGGCGGAGGCGGCGGAGGCGGCAGAGGAGGCGGAGGCAGCGGTGGAGCTGGTCGCGGCTCTGCGCAGAGGAGTGGCTCCGGTGGTGGTCCGCGCCAGCAGCAGTAGCGCAGTTGTGAGACCCCGTCCCCCCAGCAGCTTCGTGAGTGGTACGCTGGGCGTCAGCGAGGTGGGGGTACTGGTCCCTGCACCTACGTCCTCCGTACCGGCGACCGCGCTGGTGAGCAGTGCGGGGGCCCGCACTCCACCCAGCGCTGCTTCGGCCGCCTGACGGACGCGTGGCGTCACCAGTTCCCTGACGCCACTGAGATCCCTCGCTGGGGAGAGCTGTCTAGGGCGGGGGTTGCTATCTTTGATCTTGATTATGATGCTATTCTTGCTGCCATGTATGCTGTGTCTACTAGTGATGACGGTGACTGTTACCTGTGTGTTCCGCCTGACCCGGGCATTGAGGCTGCTGCTCTCGGTGCTGGTGAGGCTGCTGCTCTAGGTGCTAGTGCGTCTGCTGCCCCAGGTGCTGGTGAGTCTGCTCTCTCAGGTACCACGTCGGCTCAGGCCTTACACACCTTCACCCTTGACTCGGGTGCTTCCCGCTCCTTCTTTCGAGACCGCACCACGCTTACGCCGCTTAGTCGGCCGGTTGCGGTCTCCCTGGCGGACCCCTCTGGGGGTCCTGTCCTTGCTAGCTTCTCCACTGTCTTACCGTGCCCGGCAGCCCCCTCTGGCACCCTGTCAGGTCTCTACCTCCCCTCGTTCTCTACGAACTTGGTGAGTGGAGCTGATCTACAGGATAGGGGGGTTGACCAGTTCACTCCTGCGAGTCAGCGGGTGACCCACTGCACGTGTGCTCGGACGTGCCGACACTTGGCCACGTTTACCCGTCGGCCGGGGTCGAGCCTGTACAC